CAACATGTATACATCCCATTGTGTAACCTATTATCAACATGTATACATCCCATTGTGTAACGTATTATAAACATATATACATCCCATTGTGTAACGTATTATCAACATGTATACATCCCATTGTGTAACGTTTTATCAACATGTATACATCCCATTGTGTAACGTATTATCAACATGTATACATCCCATTATGTGATGTAATATCACTATGGATACATTCCATTGTGTGATGTAATATCACTATGTATACATCCCATTGTGTATCGTATTATCAACATGTATACATCCCATTGTGTAACGTATCATCAACACGTATACATCCCATTGTGTAACGTTTTATCAACATGCATACAACCCATTGTGTAACGTTTTATCAACATGTATACATCCCATTGTGTAACGTATTATCAACATGTATACATCCCATTGTGTGATGTAATATCACTATGGATACATCCCATTGTGTGGTGTAATATCGCTATGTATACATCCCATTGTGTATCGTATTATCAACATGTATACATCCCATTGTGTAACGTATTATCAACATGTATGCATCCAATTGTGTAACGTATTTGTACATATATACATCCCATTGTGTAACGTATTATCAACACGTATACATCCCATTGTGTAACGTATTATCAACATGTATACATCCCATTGTGTAACGTATTATCAACATATATACATCCCATTGTGTATCGTATAATCAACATGTATACATCCCATTGTGTAACGTATTATCAACATGTATACATCCCATTGTGTAAGGTATTATCAACATGTATACATCCCATTGTGTAACGTATTATAAACATGTATACGTCCTATTGTGTAACGTATCATCAACATGTATGCATCCCATTGTGTAACGTATTTGTACATATATACATCCCATTGTGTAACGTATTATCAACACGTATACATCCCATTGTGTAACGTATTATCATCATGTATACATCCCATTGTGTAACGTATTATCAACACGTATACATCCCATTGTGTATCGTATAATCAACATGTATACATCCCATTGTGTAACGTATTATCAACATGTATACATCCCATTGTGTAACGTATTATCAACATGCATACATCCCATTGTGTAACGTATTATCAACATGTATACATCCCATTGTGTAACGTATTATCAACATGTATACATCTATTGTGTAACGTATTATCAACATGTATACATCCCATTGTGTAACGTATTATCAACACGTATTCATCCCATTGTGTATCGTATAATCAACATGTATACATCCCATTGTGTGATGTAGTATCACTATGTAAACATCCCAATGTGTGATGTAATATCACTATGTATACATCCCATTGTGTGATGTAATATCACTTTGTATACATCCCATTGTGTATCGTTGTATACATCCCATTGTGTATCGTATAATCAACATGTATACATCCCATTGTGTAACGTATTATCAACATGTATACATCCCATTGTGTAACGTATTATCAACATGTATACATCCCATTGTGTAACGTATTATCAACACGTATACATCCCATTGTGTATCGTATAATCAACATGTATACATCCCATTGTGTAACGTATTATCAACATGTATACATCCCATTGTGTAAGGTATTATCAACATGTATACATCCCATTGTGTAACGTATTATAAACATGTATACGTCCTATTGTGTAACGTATCATCAACATGTATGCATCCCATTGTGTAACGTATTTGTACATATATACATCCCATTGTGTAACGTATTATCAACACGTATACATCCCATTGTGTAACGTATTATCATCATGTATACATCCCATTGTGTAACGTATTATCAACACGTATACATCCCATTGTGTATCGTATAATCAACATGTATACATCCCATTGTGTAACGTATTATCAACATGTATACATCCCATTGTGTAACCTATTATCAACATGTATACATCCCATTGTGTAACGTATTATAAACATATATACATCCCATTGTGTAACGTATTATCAACATGTATACATCCCATTGTGTAACGTTTTATCAACATGTATACATCCCATTGTGTAACGTATTATCAACATGTATACATCCCATTATGTGATGTAATATCACTATGGATACATTCCATTGTGTGATGTAACATCACTATGTATACATCCCATTGTGTATCGTATTATCAACATGTATACATCCCATTGTGTAACGTATCATCAACACGTATACATCCCATTGTGTAACGTTTTATCAACATGCATACAACCCATTGTGTAACGTTTTATCAACATGTATACATCCCATTGTGTAACGTATTATCAACATGTATACATCCCATTGTGTGATGTAATATCACTATGGATACATCCCATTGTGTGGTGTAATATCGCTATGTATACATCCCATTGTGTATCGTATTATCAACATGTATACATCCCATTGTGTAACGTATTATCAACATGTATGCATCCAATTGTTTAACGTATTTGTACATATATACATCCCATTGTGTAACGTATTATCAACACGTATACATCCCATTGTGTAACGTATTATCAACATGTATACATCCCATTGTGTAACGTATTATCAACATATATACATCCCATTGTGTATCGTATAATCAACATGTATACATCCCATTGTGTAACGTATTATCAACATGTATACATCCCATTGTGTAACGTATTATCAACATGCATACATCCCATTGTGTAACGTTTTATCAACATGCAAACATCCCATTGTGTAACGTATTATCAACATGTATACATCCCATTGTGTAACGTATTATCAACATGTATACATCCCATTGTGTAACGTATTATCAACATGTATACATCTATTGTGTAACGTATTATCAACATGTATACATCCCATTGTGTAACGTATTATCAACACGTATTCATCCCATTGTGTAACGTATTATCAACATGTATACATCCCATTGTGTAACGTATCATCAACATGTATACATCCCATTGTGTAACGTATTATCAACATGAATACATCCCATTGTGTAACGTATTATCAACATGTATACATCCCATTGTGTAACGTATTATCAACATGCATACATCCCATTGTGTAACGTATTATCAACATGTATACATCCCATTGTGTGATGCAATATCACTATGGATACATCCCATTGTGTGGTGTAATATCGCTATGTATACATCCCATTGTGTATCGTATTATCAACATGTATACATCCCATTGTGTAACGTATTATCAACATGTATGCATCCAATTGTGTAACGTATTTGTACATATATACATCCCATTGTGTAACGTATTATCAACACGTATACATCCCATTGTGTAACGTATTATCAACATGTATACATCCCATTGTGTAACGTATTATCAACATATATACATCCCATTGTGTATCGTATAATCAACATGTATACATCCCATTGTGTAACGTATTATCAACATGTATACATCCCATTGTGTAACGTATTATCAACATGTATACATCCCATTGTGTAACGTATTATAAACATATATACATCCCATTGTGTAACGTATTATCAACATGTATACATCCCATTGTGTAACGTTTTATCAACATGTATACATCCCATTGTGTAACGTTTTATCAACATGCAAACATCCCATTGTGTAACGTATTATCAACATGTATACATCCCATTGTGTAACGTATTATCAACATGTATACATCCCATTGTGTAACGTATTATCAACATGTATACATCCCATTGTGTAACGTATTATCAACATGTATACATCCCATTGTGTAACGTATCATCATCATGTATACATCCCATTGTGTAACGTATTATCAACATGTATACATCCCATTGTGTAACGTATCATCAACATGTATACATCCCATTGTGTAACGTATTATCAACATGAATACATCCCATTGTGTAACGTATTATCAACATGTATACATCCCATTGTGTAACGTATTATCAACATGCATACATCCCATTGTGTAACGTATTATCAACATGTATACATCCCATTGTGTAACGCATATTCAACATGTATACATCCCATTGTGTAACGTATATTCAACATGTATACATCCCATTGTGTAACGTATTATCAACATGTATACATCCCATTGTGTAACGTATTATCAACATGCATACATCCCATTGTGTAACGTATTATCAACATGCATACATCCCATTGTGTAACGTATTATCAACATGCATACATCCCATTGTGTAACGTATTATCAACATGTATACATCCCATTGTGTAACGTATTATCAACATGCATACATCCCATTGTGTAACGTATTATCAACATGCATACATCCCATTGTGTAACGTATTATCAACATGCATACATCCCATTGTGTAACGTATTATCAACATGTATACATCCCATTGTGTAACGTATTATCAACATGTATACATCCCATGATATATATACATGATAAACACACGACGTACGTTTCCCGGACTTACGAAAAAGTCAAACATTGTCCAATAAAGAAAACCCACATTTATATCCAGGTCAACTTACACGCGTGTGTGCACCAACGCGTATCTTGCATGAAATATACGCTCCTTACGGTTCGGGAGGACAATAGAGCGTACCAAGTGTGACATCTTTCTGTGAGTGTATGTGCAGAAGAGCCAGGACTACGCTTCGGAGGCTGCTGCTACGACATAACAACCGATTGTTTTTTTCCACTAATGCAGAACACATATGTGTGTCATTCCGTGCTACGCTTACATATCACACGGGAGTTTCCACTGCACTGTTACGTCGCTCTGTGTGTGCGCTGCCCCGACATGTTGAGAGGAAAGGATCACGTTGATACATTGTGAGTAAACATGGGACACATGACGGTTGCATGTAGGCTAGTGGTCAACTCTCATCCACACACACCAGACATGCATAAACGTGAACAAGCATGTACGACCCAGTGTCTTCTGACATGTAGTAGCACATTAGTATGTTGTTTTATTTATTTTTAAACAGCGATGTGCAATGAACGATGTCAAGGGTGAAGGACACGTGGAATTTTCCCATTTTGCTCGACGTAATTATCTTTATTGATACTTCAGTTAATACATACATCCTATTGTCTACATACATGATCCCACTTTCTGGCGTGTATACACTTGTATTAGGATTACCTAGACTTATCAGACCTACGCTGTTCAAGGTAAGATTGTTTGGTTTGTTTCAAGTATCTGTTGCGTGGCTTTCTAATTGATAAGGGTTTTCCTCAGTGAATGACTGAACAACAGGTTCTTGTGGGCAGAGCTCCTGCCGGCAAAGTTCCCGGATACTGTATGTAAACTGGTAATCAGATGATGTGTTGGATATACGATCCGTGGATTTCAAAGGCAAAATATATTTACTTTTTAAATATTAATGCTGTACTACCATAATCGGGGGTGTGTGTGTGATCAAAGTATGAAACAGTTTTGGACTTTTTTCCACAGGGTCCCAAATCTAAGGAATCTATAGTCCGCTGTTTTCATGCCAATAACGTAAAATAAGCATTTTTAAAAAATTCTGCTTCAAAGAGAGCTAGGGTTAAGAAAAGAAACGTACAGGGATAACTTGTAATTTGGATCTGATCATGGTAAAAAAGATCGATATGGTATGCTTTTGATAACAAGATATGGTGTAGTTGAGGAAAATGTTTAAAGGGCAAGTTTACACGAAACTTTTTTCTCTTGCACTTTTTTTGCATAAAGTGTTTGTCAAGCAGTCTCATAGCCAAAACAGTACAGATATCATAAGTAACTAATTTACTTTTTGCTTCACATCGATACATATTTTGCACAGTTTACCGAGAGTTGTATGTCCACAATAAACACACCATGGCTTATGTCCCTTGCAAATGATGTCATTTTATGCCAAACTTATAAACAAATGACGTCATTATACTCTATTTGACCCATTTCACCATTCGTCACCACTAACCCCTTTCCGTAACCTCCAAGAAGGGCCTTGTCCCGGAATAGCACGAACTGTTCACGAATGCCATTTCACTTGGTGCAGGTATAGGTGTGGTTCTTGTGTCTCGATGCGCTGGCTACTGTTTTGTTGCCTGGCTGTCTGCTGGCTTTGTGTACCGGTCCGTTTCACACTGTTTGACATTGCGGTTTGGAATGAAAGGTATACATTGTACGAAAAGTGTTACCACGTAACCAAATTGTATAACATTCAACCTGAGTCGGTCGCCCTCCAACAGTATCTTCTTTACAGCAAAACTGAAAAGCATATGCACTATATGTAGCTAGCCATCGGTGAATGTACCGGCATTCTAAGTTTGCTACTTAATTTCTTCATAAATCGTACAATTTATGTCCCTCCTCGTCAGCCCTCACTTTGATGTCAAAACCATATCCAAATACATCACGAAGATAAATGCACTTTGCAGTTTGGACTTAAATTTCAGTCACATAAATCAATGTTAGCCGATACTAAAAGTGCCATAAGGACCAAATGAATGTTAGTCTTAAACAACACGTTTCTTGGTTCTCTTAATTGGACCATGAACATGATTTTTTAAAAATCTGTAACAATTCCGTTATTATCACTACTGTCCATGTTGAAATAAATAATTTGCATGAAAAATTACCCCTCAACCCCCATAAGAAAATACATACATGTCAGTTATGTAAAAGATCAAATAATAATTACTACAGAGCTACAATTTGTGCAGAGCATGGGCGATAGTAGGAATGTGTTGCAATTAGTAATATTTTAAACCCAAATAAACGAATCGTAAAAACGCATACCTTACCATCAACCGATAAATGCTATAATAATGTTATAATGTTAATGATTTTGCACCAATGTATGCGTTTATCTTTTGAAAAGGTGACAAATTTTGTCTTCAAACAAATGACGAGAAGTCGATCGAATGATCGTCTGTAATGTAATAGTAAATCGTGAAATATATTCATCCTATTTTTTTATATGTAAGAAACGTATCTTAAAACGTATCTTTTTATCAATACAAATGTACATGTATTATCATATTTGACAAGATACCGAGAAAATACAATTCATGTTTGCTGCTTTTTATACAGGAACAGTACTCGAGTATCAGGGTTATCGACACTTTCTCAAAAATAAATATGAGGTGGGCAGGCGGATTTTATTTTTTATTTTTATTTATTTATTTTATGTGCCAGATCCCTTGATTTTTGTGGAAATTTACACCTTTTCTCCGATAGAAAATTAAATTTTATAGAAGTGTCAAAACTTCATGCACATTTGGAGAGTCAAAGTTGCATTTTCTCTAATGTAAAAAAATATATAAAACCTTAGGGCCGGGTCGAATTATTGGGTCGGGCGGTAATTAGAAACAAGAATATTTTTTATGTGGCCTTACCATGGCTTATTTGGAATTTGGGCCGTATTTGGTGTCAGTTATACATCCTTGTTAGAATTTCAGCATGTTGCCGTCAATTCGGTCTTTACAAATACTATCGATCAAGGGACTCTTTCCTCGTTCCTGTTACTGAATTTTTAATAGGTTGCAAATTTCAGTAACAGGAATGAGAAAAGAGTTTAAATCAACCTACTGTACACGACTGAAAACAATCGATAATGGGTCGAAGCAATGACACTTTTGTCACAAGTAAATTTTTATGGCACACCGTTTTTTCGGAATAGACCGACATGGCTGTTCGCATAGGGACCGTTCATAATTTATGGGGATTTTTTTTGATTTTTTTTGTTATATTTTGTTTTTGTTATTTTGGTTTTCATGTTTGTTTGTTTGCTTGGGGGTGGGGGTGGGGATAACCCATTTTGTTCGGGAGAGGTAGGGGTCTTCAATGTTGTACACATGTACAAAGGGGGTCAACAATTTTGTACATGCCTATGTTAAAAAATTATGCTTAATTATTATGGGTGGTGAGGGTGGGGTTGGTGTCATGACATGACATGCAAGGGGTGGGGTACTTCCTTTGTACATAAATTCTAAGGGGGGGGTCATTCACATTGTACTTCCTTCTCCATAAAAATCATCATATCACTCACTCACTCTCTCTCTCACACACACACACACACACACACACACACACACACACACACACACACAAACCTAGCCATAAAATAAGGACGGTCCCTTACAAGGGTGTTCAGACTAGTCGACATGAGTTAAAAACAATTATGAAAATCTGATGATGTGAAATATCTATTAGCTTATGAGGACAGGGCGCTAAACACGTCGTATACAGCACTGCCTATTGATTCATATTATAAAGCTCTATGTCTTGATTGAAAAGTCGAATTTTACTGGGAGTTTTGAATTGAATTTGAAAAAGAAAAACGTTTCATTGTGATCAGCGGTATTTTGGTTTGTGTTGTTGTTGTTGTTGTTGTTGTTGTTGTTGTTTTATCGAAATCACCAGTAGTCATTCTGAAACGTCGTTGATGAACCGAGAATCGCTGAGAATGTTTTGGAAAACAAAAGCTTTCAGCCATAATGCGGAGTGTTTATAAAAACACGTAACACGTATGTCGGTTATGTTGTGCCCATTACATCACAGCTATAATTCAATATCAGCTCCCTTAAACGAATCCCTGAATTCCTGATACAGTTCACAATAAAATGACAAATTAAATGGTCTTTCAGGCGCGTAGCAGGCCTTTTTTTTCGTGTAAGCCCGATAAGCTTTATATTTAGATAGTATTGAGGGCTTGCCAAACCTTTTTAGCAACCATTATGTGTAAGCCCGGGCTTTTTTTTACAATGGTTGCTACGCCCCTGTCTTTGTCACAATACCAAGTGTCTCAGTGACATCTAGCGAAATATACCACATGTGAAAATGAATGTCGCGCTGGGAAAGGACCTCTTGTTTGACATGTAATCAAAGCCAAGCTCAGATTTTACACTATGTGTCATTTTCTCATACTGTGAGAGACCAGTTCGCCTACTCGTTGCATACACTTGCTCATAAGTTTTAGAACATGCATGGGAAGATTATCGTAGCAAGAAATAGGGAAATAAGAATAGGTGTATTCCAATGATTTCCTAGATTCAACACTATTTATACAGTATATTATAGTTTCCGTAAGCGTGACGCCATGACTGACGCAAACTCACGCACAATGTTGGCGACACTTCGTAACTTTGACTATTTCCCTTGGTCAAAATGAAAACAAAGAGAAAATAACAACATGCAGATTGTCTTAATGTTTCGGACTACTTACATGTCATATTTATGCATATAAGTTGCTTGAAACAACGAAAGTTTTCTTCCAAATATCCTGAATACTCGTGTCAGTGAACACGCTTTTACCAGAAAGTCGCTTCCCGATAGTGATGTCATCAGAGACCATCTCTGATGTCATACGTACATCAACATTGTTATGCGTATTTGGTATTGTCATTGAGGTGAGGTTTATGAATGAAAGTATACATGATCAATCTATGTTGATATCTTTTGCTTTGGGACTTGACAGGAGACGACATTACGTCATTATCAAAGGGAGGTAACTCTAGCCTGTTTAGCTCGGCAAACAAAGGCCACATAATGGCATAACATGGACAGTACGTACATGGACGTTTATACCCTCATTGTAAGAAAAATGAGTGCATAGTTTCACGTATTGTTGTTAGCTAATTCACAAATTCTTTGTGCATCATCTTGTCAAACTAAAAGATTCAGTCAACAGCATTATTTGGTAGGCTCTGCAGTACTCTCTAGGTGCTGAGATTGAATAACGGCATGTACAAGAATTGACTGAGCTGAAGTTTCTTTTATACAGCATGATTTGTACCGAACATTTCCCATTGTTAGGAATGTCCCAAATATATAATATCTTACATTGTAAATTGTGTAGCAATGCTAAGCTACGTTTTATATGAACTTTTTCCCATGATACTATGCTTTAACGAATATAACACGAGACCACACACCACAACAAATACTAGTACACTTGTAAGCTCCTTTCGAGATTGCCAAAACCTTAAATCTGTAGAATATTTAGGTCAGAACAAAACGTGCGCATTGACTGGCAATATTGTTATTATTGTCAAAGTCCGCTCCAAACGTTGGAATTTTAACAGTCCGGAACACAGATGATTTACTGAAAGCGGGTTGACTATATGATTCTAGTGAGAACTGACACGTTAATGACACGGATGGCAAATTATATCGCCTACAGCAATTAATACCAACAGTAGTTACGCCTGAGTGTGTTATTGATAGTCACTGTGTTTTAGAATTATAATGTCTAATTGAATTGCATTTTACACAATACTACTCTTCCTGTGACCTGCAGAGCTGATCGACAGTTTCCTATTGTGAGAGCCTGCAAGTCTCGATCATCAAAACGTATTTAGATCACATTTGTTGATCACTACGATCAGGGGATCAGAATCTTCTTCAAACATCCAAATCCTGTATAGAAACATGGATATCGGGCCTTTCGGACCAAGTCCGATCGACCAATGAATCGTTCCTGAAAATTCATTTGTTCAGCAAAGTCTACAAGGACTAATCTGAGCCCATGGCTACTCACTGCGGGATACCACCGCTATATAAGTGTATACTTTAAGTTGATCTTTTATTTGATCAAAAACGCTGGTCGTAATATAGTCTGACTAACTCCATGCATTTACCTACTTCTATTGGACTTACATATTCATCAACACAAATGACTAGTGTGTATTCTTGCATACAAAACATCGTTTCTTTTTCTGCATATCATAGACAGCTTGTGACAGCTTGCGTGTAGAACACACATAACCGAATACCTTGGTTGGCTGTTTCTCGGAGATTTGTGAGTGCACTTTGGAAAGCTATCAGGGTAGGTTCACCTTATCGGTCATGGTGACCTGGGGTAAAGTACGTGCAAGCGCTACATTTATCGTTATTCATCCATGCATTGTATGCACTCTTTGTCCACCAGGCAACAATTTAATGTCCTTGGTTGAGTATCATTACGTGTGTACGTGCAGACTCGTGAACTCAATACTTTTGAGGTGAGTTATTGTTACCATGTAGCTGATTGATATAGTTATCAGTTAATCTTTTGGATACATTTACGTATTAAACTGCATGATTCAATTCAGAATGTGAACTTGATGCATACATTCGACACTTCATGTATTGTGTGAATGTCCGTTAAATGTATTGTGTCGCTCGGTGCATAGGAGTTCAGTGATAAATACAGACGACTTTACGTGAACGAATACCATGCATGGTAGTATCACCAATCACGTGCCTATATGAAAATACCCTAACTGTGGATTGAATTTAAGAGGAACGCCGGGCAGATCTGTATCGCGGCCCAGTGATTGACATGAAATATTCATGTATTATCCAAGTCAGAAATAGGGTTACAAGACAGGTGGTACCCATTTGTACATGTATAACATTACGCTAGTAAATCATCTAGCTGTGATAGTTTACCGCCATATGACGAGGAAATGGTTGATATGATATAGCAAGCAGTATCACAGTAAGCCGGGACCATGTGTCAAGGACGCTAGGGGCCTGACGAAAGGAAGTGTTTCTGCGAGTTCTGTCAACGCGGTATTTACACTAGCGCAGTGTGTATTACCAATAAACAAACACAGTTTACTTTTGTGAGGAAAATATCATGCAGTGGTCTTGGTTTGTAAGTACTATTTCATCTTGTGTGTTTCTTTATAATCGTATATTGCTGTCTCGGAATAGTCGTTCCAGATTCATGTTGTCAGCATTTTGTTATAAGGTGAAAATTCCCGTTATACAAGAAACGTATCACAAATCTATTATTGAAACTTACGGTTATTTCGTCATAGAAGCAATGCTGTTACTGCTTGGTGATAAACTAAGGGATAAAGAACAGGACAAATGTCAGTAACAGATAAGCCTCTTAAAGTAGTAATTAAACGGATATCCATCGAGGAATATTTCCGATCACGAGCCGCTATATGGGACCATCGAATGATGTAACTTTAAACGAATCGAAGGGATTGTATGTGGTCGTGTGACAAGGGTGGAGCAGGCTCGAACACCTTAAAAAGATACCGTCAGCACTAGAAAGTGGTGCGGGTTAAAAAGTCAGCAGAACGTTCGCATCGCGATCGATCAGTTCCATATCTGGTGAAGAGCTTGCCCTATCCTGTCCAGACCGCGACACCTTGTAACGATGAGAGGGATCGAGTAAACCTATGTGAGTATAGAACCTGGTGTTGAGTTCTTCATTGTTGTATGCCAGAGTGCCAGAGTGCCAGAGCGCCAGTACATGAATGAAATGTGGTTATTGAGGAGTTTCAGTCGTCTGACCTCTCACTCCTAGACTTAACATTCCCCCTGGACCAAGCGAGTGTGTAACTTGAGCTTACATCACCCCTGACAATGCGGAACGGCCATCTTAATAGGTAACTGGTAGTAGGATTTATTAACACCCAAGCCCCGGTTACGACAATATTGACTGAATCGTAATATTCGTACCAGAGCAATATTATCTCAATGCTGTTGTATCATATTTTCATTCCAGAGTTATCCAATCTGTGTGTTGTCGTATCGTAATATTGGTACTTGGGTAATATCATCTGTAAATTGAGTCGGTGTGGTAGCCTACTGGTGAAAGCGTTGGATCATCACGAAGAACACCCGGGTACAATGTGTGAAGCCAATTTCTGGTCTCTGGTGATATTGCTAAAAGCGGCGTAAAAACACACAAACTCACTCTGTAAATTGCTGTATCGTAGTACTCGAAGCCAGGCTCTTCTTATCTTATTGGCTGCGAATATAAAGAAGGCACAGTTTACAGTCAGGTTGAAGCTGGTTACGAATGTACTGTATTATGCATCATTTCCTTTGTCATTGTCGTGTGACCGCAGTAAGAGGGGAACCACCAAACTTACTCACTGCTAGGCTTTACATCTCCAGTGTAGGTCGTTTTTTTAAGATTCTCAGGTTTGGAATCTTTGTTTCAGACAGAGAACATGAGTGTTGTTGCTGTCGTCATCATTTGCTGCTATGTTGTGCACGCTGCACACGCTGTGGACATCTGTGGACAAAACTGCAACAATTCTAAATGCTTGTCGGAACCCGGAAGTGGAACATTTAGATGCAGTGACGGATGTGTCGATGGCTGGACAGGTCAGATGTGTCACCGGAAGTGTCGTAAAGGATGTAGGTCATGTGATCAGGTGACCGGGGAATGCCGGGAAAACTGCCTTGTAAATTGGTGTGGTACAAACTGTGATTCCTTTTGTGGATCTGGATCCATTGAAGGTAAGATGAGTCATAGTCAACGATATTTCAGTTCGATCCCCGGTGGAGGCACCTAGGTTCGAGTCCCGAGTAGACTAGAGGTGGGTATCCTTGGACAAGATACTTAGATCCACAGTTCAGCCAGCTGTAAAATGGGTACCCGTGAGGATGTGCTGGCAATGTGAATGTTTAGTTCAGGAAGGGAAGCAGGAAGCATGACTGTATGATCCCCAGGGAGTTGAAAGAGTATCGGAAAGTACGATAGTGCCCTATGACCGGGCGCCGTAATGTACGTAGCGCCGTGAGCGCCATATAAGCGGACTAGTACTATTACTATTACTAGCTCAGCCTGTCAGTTGCAGGTAACGCAGAATATATAACCTACAAGATATGACCACAACCAACCCGCCCAGCGTCTTAAGCAATAAGCCTTTTTACAAACCGAATTCACAGAAGATGAGTTTGGTTTTGACGAGACGATATGTAAGAGGAAAATTTCCTAGCATGTTGTGTGGCAAAACCAGGGTCGTCTATGGCGAGCGGGCACGATAAAGGGCTTATTGGGACGAATAAAAGTGCACAAACTCATTCTACCGTCAGGTTATATGCCTCGGAAAGACAAACATTGCCATCCATTCATATGATACACCCTTTGAATTCATATTTGTAAATTGATATTTTTGTTGACGAGTTTTGCTTTTCATGTCTTTCTCAGTTTCATGTACTAGCTTTCAAATAACAAGTAAAATAGATTGCATTATAAATTTATTTCCAAACTGCTCTACCAGTGATTGTGACTGACAGAACAAGTGAACGTTTAGCTAAGAATGTACACGGGTGTAAATATCGTAATCCAAAGCGTATTGAACACAAATTGTTACATAGGAAACGGTCGAGACATGCATTTCATCGTGTCATCATTCATTTGACAGACCAATAAGTTTCCGATACGCATCAGTCTGCCATGTTGAATCTTATTACAGAGTGAGGCATTTTCAAAATCTGTATCTTGGCTCGTATACATACCTTAATTACACACCCAACTTAATTTCATGAGAACACTTAAAATTGACATATACACACTTATGTATATTTACGCACATTTGCAAATGTTGTGCATGTGAATGGGGCTTTTTTTAAAAAGGTACGATCATTTAGATTTGTCAGCAGTACCCCCAGCTCGTTTCTTTAACCAGTTCGGAAAACGTCTTGACTCGCGGGGTCACGTTGATTGTTCCTCCAACATTTAGCTGACTACTAAACTGTAAAACACAGTTAAAACTGAATTACTCATACATCATTTCTCACCTATATTTCAGGGAGTACAAAACCAGGCTGCCTGGATGTATTATGCAATCATTGTGTGGAGGGTCTGTACGGTGATGATTGTACTGAAGCATGCCCCGCCAACTGTGACTTCGGATGTAACAGGACGTCTGGACAGTGTGACTATGCGTGCATCCGGGGCTACCATGGTCCTTCCTGCAGCGCCCCCTGCACGACCACCTGTAAGGACGGTTGCAGTCAGACCGACGCCTCGTGCCTTGGTGGCTGCCAGAGGGGCTGGCACGGACGCTTCTGTAACATGTCCTGCAACAACAACTGCCTTCACGACATGTGCTACCAGGATACCGGGAACTGTACTGTCGCTGTCCAGTATCCTCTCTACATTTTCCCCAAGTGTAAACCTGTAAGAACAGGATCTGTGGTTATTGGGAACTGTAGTGTCGGCTGTGAAGCTGGGTGGAGAGGTGCGAGATGCAACCAGAGGTGTCCAGCAGCGTGTTATTCCTGTAGTCAGTTCCCTCACACCGAGCTGTGCACCTACACCATGGACGTCACGAAAACCCGCACACATGGATGTAGGTCAAAGTCGAATATAATTATTCTTCCATTTGCTTCTTTGGCATAATATATATGCAGTTTCAATGAAAGCAAAATTCCCACTTCCAAATGCATATATGGAAAGTCATATCATTGAATTTTGACCTAATGATTTCCTGGCAGGAGAGAAGCAACGGGTAGGAAGAACGAGTTGTTTGTCTCCTGCCGTGGCATCTTCGAGTTCAATACATTAGGTCCACATGCATAAGTATGAAGATCTATATCTATTTCATACCCTTTTCATGACACAGATAGTTTTAATCTATCTCGAAACGTCGCTACTGAAACTTCCGCATTGAGCATTCGTAACTACTCGCCTCTTTCCGTGACCTACAAGAAGATTCATACCGTTTCTAAGATGCCTAGCGGTTAGAACAATCGAAAAAAATACATTATCAGACAATAAAGGTTTCATGTCTTTCAGTGGCATTTAGAAGTTGTACATTGATGTCCAAGATATTTTTATGGATTAAACTTCTTTTTTAGTTTTTTTTTTAAAAAAGAAGTTTAATCCATAAAAATATCTTGGACATCAATAAAGGTATCGTTTTTTGATGACGTAACAATTGAATGACGTTATCCCGTCACTGCGCCATTCTAGTGTGCCCCCTCGTAATCGAACCATTTTACATTACGTCACAATGTAAGCGACGTCACGATGCATGTCAGTTGTCATCGCCTCGTACGGCCTCCTACAGTAAACTACACCGTTGCATCCAGTTTCTTGGTTTGCTGTTGCTTCACGCAGCTAACATCACTGGTGGAAACATTACGTTTATGTTTTACGACGGTTAAAATGTGTCATTTCGACTCACAAGTTTTCAGCGACACGGTAACGCTTGACTACTCAACTCACTCTCCTACCCAGAGTTCCAGCTTGCCGCATGGAACTCTGGGTAGGAGAGTGAGTTGAGTAGTCAAGCGACATTCCACAATTGCATTGTGGGAATGTAAACAATACGAACGTTACCGTGTCGCTGAAAACTTGTGAGTCGAAATGACACATTTTAACTAAGCATGTTAAGTCGTCGCTGTGCCGGAGTGTGTACTCAACTTCCTCTGGATGTACTGATCTAAACTTACGCTGGTAGTAGAAATGCAACGTTCATATTGCCCCATATGGTTTACGTTAATGACAGATGTAATTTAAATAATTCAGAGAAGATATTTAATCCGAACGTAAACCGTCATCAAACTGTTATCATTTGTTTTTTTCTGGTAACGTTCGTCTTAACGTAGGGGGCAGACACACCAATAGAACAGCGCTCCAGTTAGCCCTGTGCGAGGATTCTTAATTTAGGTCACCGACACCGTCGGTTGTTTTCTGCCTTAAATTAATCGTAATTATCTTTAGAAAGTATTAAATTTGGCATCTTAGAAAAGAAATACACTTCGCCCTGAACTATTATAACGTTAAAGCACTCGGACGCAAGCGTCCTCGTGCTTTAACTATAATAGTTCAGGGCAAAAGTGTGTTTTATTACACTATACATGGTGGTAGAGCGAAGTGTATTTCTTAAATAGTAAACCATGCAAAGCACAATTTTGAACACATCTTTTGAGCTAAAGGATCACCAACTTTCAACACTGAAACATCTTTACGAAGGGAATGACTGTATAGCTGTTTTGCCCACGGGATACGGGATATGGGATATTCTTGGAGTAGCCATGTTTGAAAATTCAGAGTTATATTTCCATGGAAATAGTACTAGACTATTTTCATCTTCGTGCCCGTTTGCGCTTAGACAAGGCCCAGTCGTGAACATGGCCACGAGAGTTGTACGAGTCGCCACCCTGCTTGCCGGAATGACACGAGTAGTTTCGAATGCAATCAAGTGCCAGAAACAAAACAGAATTATAATATTTGACACAAAACAACGCACATTTTATAACTATAATGTTTCAAACATTTCACTTGGGACACTGTTTAGAGATCACACCGTCTTTCAAATTTTATTTTTAATCAGTGAGGTTCAAGGAGCCTAAGCTTACCGTATTGCACGGCTGTATTGCTATCGTACGGTTGAGGCTATCGTACGATTGAGATTGCAAAGTAATAATGAGGCAAATGATTTTAAGTGCGCGCAACTAAAGCATTAACTGGCAATTGCCCTGAGTCTCCTTTCACAAAACACCCTTATCTCTAAAGTTAACCTTTTCTGTAGTAAAGGTTGTTTTGTGAAAGGAGGTCCTGGTTCCAGTAGATGATACACGGAGTATGATATTAGTTCATTTCTTATCAACTGTTCTGTAACCTGTGAGGATATATTGGTTGTGATATTTGTCTTGCGTTAAAGCAACAAGGAAGCATTCAAGGAATTCATGCAATTTCGAGACAATTTCTTCCATCCGTTATTTATTTCAGACTCTCCTGACACAGCGGACACATTGAAGATCCGCGTCCTGTATGCCTTCCTCCTGGTGATGCCGCCCTTCCTCATCGTGGCGGTGGTGCAGGTTATATGCCTGAAGTAAGTACTGTATGAGACTGGTGAGTGGGTTTAGTTGTACGGTGCTTTTAGCAATATTCCAGCAATATCACGGCGGGGGGACACCAGTAATTGGCTTTGAACGCCTTAATCACTAGGCTACCCCTGAGAGAGAGAGAGAGAGAGAGAGAGAGAGAGAGAGAGAGAGAGAGAGAGAGAGAGAGAGAGAGAGAGAGAGAGAGAGAGAGAGAGAGAGAGAGAGAGAGAGAGAGAGAGAGAGAGATTAATTTGCCTCATTTTAACAACCAATCATTTCAAATCAAGTAGCATTGGGCTTCATCTCAACTAATGTCGTTATGATAGTGCCAGTATATGTCATCAGCATGACAGTCCTCTGTTGTGACTTGTGTGACTTACACATATATGCTACTTTGTTTCAGTTATGTGAAACACAAGAACAGATTTTGCAGGCGAAAACAATATGAAGTGTGTGAAACAAGCAACAGTGAAAACATCGTTTGAATGCACAACTTCCATAGTCTTGGCGTACCCTGCCCTGAAAACGATCGCGCCGTTCAGAGCACACGATGTTAAGGAAACTTTCTCGTGCATTTTTCTGTTAATAGTCAATCAGATCGCAGACGTGCAATGTGAAATTTTTACTTTTTAGTGTGTTTGTCTACACGATCAAATAAACAAAGCAACTCGGTTAGATAGCGGTAGGGATTCTGACTCAGAATACCAAATACACAGTATCTTCTGACTATAGACGTTCAGCTTTTTTCATCAATGTTTCGTGTATTGACTAGTGATAGATTTAGACTTTTAAAGGTACATGTATATAGGTTTTACACTGAACATAGTTGAATTCGGGTTAAAACGAACTTGGTCAGTTGACCTTGTCACATCCTTTCCTTATATGTAGTGCTGACGTTGGTTGTAACTATTTTAGATGGATACGAGATATTCCTATAATTTCCAGTTATAATATGAAAACTAGAACCCGCGAAGATGCCGGTTAGAATGGGTCTTCATCAACACATGCTTGTGAAGAGGCGACTAATGAGATTGGGTGGTCGCTGTCTTGATTGACACATGTCATCGTATCCCAATTGGGTAAATCGACGCTCATGACGCTCACTGGATTGTCTGGTCCAGACTCGATTATTAACAGACCCCCGTCATAAAGCTGGAATATCGTTTAGTAGCAACAAATAATGTAATACTGTATATCGGTCATCTAAACTGCTTTCCTGTTCTTGTAGCGTCACATAAATAACATTAGACATCAGTGAACTCGGTTCGTCACAGGGTCATTACCAGTGCTGAACACTTAGTGGTGCACGGATAACAGTACTAGTGAAATAAGGGAAATGATTCTGGTTGCCAGAAACATGATCCAGGAAGCAATTAAGACAAGGAAACTGGACGCAATCAACAAGAAAATGTGATTTCTGAGTGAAATTCATTGATTCAAAAATACGTTCAACGAAATCCGTTCTTTCAGAATATACACTGCTGTCTTGCATTTTCAGTGCAGTTTTGCATTTGTCCAATGACACTGTTTACTTCTGTAGCTTTCTTCATATTTCTTTATGTTTATGTTTATATTGTCTATATATGAATTGGAATATAAAACGTAAATGGTGTCTGTGTTGTGTTTTAGATCTAATGTTGATATATTCGGTGTAGTCTTTCATTTACATCTCTTCATGGCAGTCTTGGGCGATGATGGTCAAGGCTTTTATCACTTTGATGAATTCATTGTATAGTATTGGCCTAGTCCTGACAAGCCATGTAACTTAATAAGAGAGCTTCTGGGATTCGAACCCACAACCAAAAGATTCTAACACAACACAGGGATGCTACACAGCACAGTTGATAGGGGCGACTGGTCCTACTGGACCAACCATGCTCCCTTAAGAGGCCAAAGCCCCTTCATATCTGGGTTGAGATCAAACATAGTTCCTTTGTTCCAGACAGGATGTCTGGTAATGTAGTCTAAGACCCGCAGAATCCTATATTCAGTAGGCAGTGTATGCATAAGTCACTGCTTGGAAAGGATTTTCATCTTCAGAGTGACAATATACATTCAATCTTCCATTAGAAATGTGGAGATAATCTGGGTGCCGTTCCACTAACCGATCTTAACTAAGATCAATCTTAGCAAGTTACGCCAATTTTACAATCGTCTTAGCTAAAAGTTACACCCGTTCCACTAACCGATCTTAGGCCGATCGTAGCCGGTCCCGATCTTACGATCCGATCCAAACTTAGATCGAGACTCTTTCGTGCGAGAGATAGAGGAATGCGAGGCACGAGTTATCTCCCTTTGCATAGTCTAGCAAATGATGGAAGTAGTTTACGAACCAACTGAGTGAGTGAGTGAGTTTAGATTTACGCCGCACTCAGCAATAGTCCAGCTATATGGCGGCGGTCTGTAAATAATCTAGCTAAGATGCATAGCGTTCACTAACATGAGCGTTCATGTTAGTGAACGCTATGTATCTTAATAATCGAGTCCAGACAATCCAGTGATCAACAGCATGCGCATCGATCTGCGCAGTTGGGAACCGATGACATGTGTCAACCAAGTCAACGAGCCTGACCACCCGATCCCGTTAGTGGCCTCTTAGTTAGTGGAAAAGCATGTGTTAAATATTCTAACCCGGGCCTTCAAGGGTATTTTTCCAACCAAGTGTAAACGTGGAGAAAAAAACAAGAGCTAAATATTAGGGTAGTGAGCACCTTGGTTTCAGGTGCAAGTGCGTGTGAACGCTGGGTATCAAGCATAATATAATAATAATAAATGCATATTTATAGTGCGCTTATTCCACATCCTTGGGCATGCTCAAAGCGCTGTGTACAGATATTTTACACGAGAATATTTACAGCCGAGATTATAAGTAATATACTGAGAACAGGTTTTAAGTCTGGACTTTAAAAATGTCAATTGTGTCAGAGCTTTTCATATGTGCCTGAACCTTGTCAATCAGAATACACAAGGCGCGACGAGGCTTGAATAACACGCGGCCTGCCTTTAGAATCTCCCACCAAATATGCGCAGTGAAATCAAGCATATTTGTATCTTTTTGCTTCAGAACATTGTTCACTTCAAGGCTGTCCCTATTCTTAACCATGACGTTGCAATATTGTTGTACAAATGTGTTACACCGACTCGCTCGGTTGTTCCCATGACGACAGTGGTCAGACTGGCCTGACATTTGTAAGGCTTCAGTTGTTTACATCACAGAAATATACAAATTCATTTCATGGGGGATTTTAGGGGACGCTCACGGTGAAATGCTCGCTCTTATTTTTCACATAGAATAGGAAAGCCACCATTTTGGTTTCTCTACGATTGATTTTAGCTATCCTAAGTTGGTCATGAGCAACTTAGACTTTGAATCTTAACTTTACGATTGACTTGGGTAAGATTGGTTAGTGGAACGGTATGCCGATCTTAACGTCACGCTAAGATTGGGATTTTAGGGGTTTACGATTGGCATAGGGCTAAGATCGGTTAGTGGAACGGCACCCTGGTCCTTGTAGGCAAGGCAGTCGTTAGATTTAACGTCCATTGATCATGGGCTGCAACGTGTTATATTTGGGATGACACTTTCTCGGTTAAGTACAGATTCAAGTACTTCTTTTGAGCGGAACCCCATCCGGGATTCGAAGCAACACTCTCAGAGAAGGACCAAACGTACTCCAGAAAGTACTAGAATGTGTACTTAACTAATAAAATGCAATCCCAAATACGTTGGTACGATAATATGGAGAACGAGACACAATCTGTCACATACACTTTGATAACACTGTTGCAATATCCGATAGTGTCAAACATATTATACCCTCTGTACCGGGGCAGTTGTATTTAATGGCTTCCGGTTGTCTAGGAACGTCATATTGTCGTTTTTATCCCCCGGCATGTAATGCGGGGGATATAGTCGACGCCTTGTCCGTCCGTCCGTAATCATTTTGTTTCCGGAGCATAACTCCACAACCGTTAAATATTTTTAAACAAAAATTGGTGGAGATATCAAACAGAACCTAAGGTGGTGCCTTTTGTTATTTACAGATTTTTGTCATTTATATTTTTCTCAGTTTCCATGGAAACATTTTGGACTTAATCTTAAATGGAGAGGTAGGCATCGTTTCCGGAGCATAACTCAAAAACCGTTCAATATTTTTCTACAAGAATTGGTAGACATATCAAACAGAACCTAAAGTGGTGCCTTTTGCTATTTACAGACTTTTGTGATATATTATTTTCTCGGTTACCATGGAAACGATCCGGACTCAAAAGGGAGGGATGGGTTTCGTTCCCGGAGCACAACTCGAAACCTTCTTAATATCTTTCAGCAAAACTTGGCAGATATGTGAGGCAGATCCCAAAGTGGTGCCTTTTGCTATTTGCAGATTTTTGTCGTTTTTATTTTTCTCGGTTTCCATGGAAACGATTTGGACTTAGTCTCAAAAGGGAGGGGTGGGCTTTGTTTCCGGAGCACAACTCGAAAACTTCTTAATTTCTTTCAGCAAAACGTGGCATATATATGAGACAGATCTTGAAGTGGTGCCTTTTGCTATTTGCAGATTTTTGTCATTTTTCTTTTTCTTGGTTTCCATGGAAACGTTCTGGACTTAGTCTCAAAAGCGAGAGATGGGCTTCGTTTCCAGAGCACAACTCAAAAACTATCTTTCTTCAAGACTTGTTAGATATAACAAACAGAAATGGAAGTGGTGTCTTTTGCTATTTGCAGATTTTTGGCATTTATACTTTTCCTGATTTCCATGGAAACGATTTGGACTTAGTCCAAAAAATCAAGTTGGACTTTAAGTAATTGTCAGATGATTTGTTCTTTCAAATTTGTGGGGGCCAGGGGGATTTGTCATCTTCTGATGACTCTTGTTTATTATTGTTTGGGAAACTCATGATGCATAAACATGGTAGCAGCGATACGGAAGTAACCTGATGTTTGCCGCTATATTGGAAACTGTCAGTAGCACTAGTATTCAGGCCTCCATTATTCCGGGCGTTACATTGGTAAGTTCATCATTGTTCCTTAGATGATGATACCCATCCTCAAAACAACAGCTTAGTATCTTGAAAAACAAAAATACTAATGGCCCTAAAAGACGCAGTGGTGGCCATTGACAGGAAGGTTCAGAAGTATAGTTACTAGGCAAACACCATAATGATGATTTGATTTTAATAATGTTTCATTAAGTAACAATATGCATCAAAGACTTGAAATTTAGAAGTATACGGGTGTGATAGCAAGCCAATAGCTTCTTTAAGAAGTATACGGGTGTGATAGCAAGCCAATAGCTTCTTTTTGTAATGTCAGCTCTTTCAAAGATGTTTCCTTTTTGATATGATACAATTCAATGCTATTTCATCTCGTCTAATATGTAACAGAGCTTTCATGTTAGGTTTTGTTTCGTAAAACCAATTTTCATAATGCATTATTTAGGCTGCTGGCAACTCTAAATCTCCTCAAACAACAATGCTGACATGTTGTTTTTTTCATATGACATAAATTATACATAATAGTATGTATTATATCAAAATAGTTTTTTATTTTTACTTTGAAAAGAAGAACTTACGTCATGAAAGTGTAAATAACGATGCTTCGATAACAATAATTTTGCTTCTCTTTTTTCTTTTTTTTCTCTTTTTTTAGGGGGCACACACGGCATTGGGTAGATACAGGAAGAAACTAAGCATGTCTCCTAAAATGGTACCAAAGGAAGTGGCAGAAGTTAGGCTTTGGGGATATATCATTAAAGGTTGTAATTCACCTCCTTGCAATCAGACAACAAAGACGTGTATTTGTAATAGTTTAATAGCACAAATGATGTAGAGTCAACATCCGCTCCTCTCAGATCTAACATTCAAACAGTGTGATGCAGAACCATAGACATGGAACACTAACACTGAAAGGTGCATTGTCTACATGGGTACTCTTCTAAGTACCTGGCATAAAGCATACAACCATCTGCGTTTACAACTAGATTTTACAAAAATCCTTTGGTGGCTTTGCCAGCAACCTTTACCAAGGATGTATTCATTCCTGTTGGCTTTGGAATCTTTGTGTCACCACATTCTTTTCAGAAATACACATAAGTCTTGTCACAGTTCTTTTCACATGATATGTGAACAATTTCCCAGTCTAGTAATTACAATTATAATCTGTGTATATTCCCTGTGTATTCTGTGTGCCAGGTACTCAAAAGTGTAATGTGGCCACAATGACCCCTTCAGCAACACCAGCATCAACTTTCCATGATTGGAACAGATTTCGCAAGCAAGCCTTCACCATTTAGCGAAACTTCTGGCCTGTGTTCAACAATAATGCTTGTTCACAAACAATTTCACATACATCAGAGGAAAGTCTGCTGGTAAAATCTGCCTATAAATATTGCAACTATACATTACAAATGTATCATGGAATACCCTTCAATCAAAATTAATAAAAGTCAAGTAAAAGAATTCAATAACATCATCTGTACCTATTCATCTGCATGGTAACAGCAGTCAGTAAATACCTTAGTCAGCAATATCGCAGCTACTATACAGCAATCTCTCAGCAACTAAGTAAACCAAACAAACCAAGGCCAGCAGTGTGAGGATCACTCCAGTCAGGAGGATGATGACCCACAATGGACAATGGACTATTCATACTCATCCAACATTGTTACCAACCAATCCACAGTTGTTTATTGGTACCTATAAGAACCTTCCAGAACTTGGTTACTATGATGACAAGGTGATGATTGGTCATCAACACTACATTCAAGTTTGGCTGCACTGGCAGGTGAAAGACGCTCACATGACCAGAAACATATTTGTAGCTAGCGGGTAAATATCCCCATGTACGACTAGAAAGAAATGCATTTTCCATATCAGTTTGATGTCTTTATAGTAATGTTCTTGGATGATGTTAACTTGTCTGGTTGGTTGGTTATTGAGACTATTACTTCAACAGTGATATAATGCTAGCTTAGTAAGAGGTAAACCGTTCATGAATACCGCTATTTAAAATCAAACACAGTAATGCCATTAGAAACATTGGTCTCCTACAACAATACATATTTACTCCTGCACATCCGAGAGTTATGTCATTGTTAAAGACCATGTTTATTATTTATTTACCACCAAGACATAAGGTTGGTTACATACTCTAGAGATTTTTCAAAGCTTTCTCGATGACTACTTTCAAATGTAAAAATTATTATCCTAATGACAATAACACTTTTATAAAATTAATGCTCATCATGAAATCATAGTGTTTAGAGAAGTTATATGAAATGGTGTTTCATGATAAAATGTCATTGGTATTCTAATCACAAACTACCCATTTTTCAGCTATCGTCGACATTTTCCCAGTTTTGAGGTACAAAGCTCATACTACAGGTTACATTAATCAGTGTATGAAATAAGCCAAATTTCCAGCCAGACATCAGGGGTGGTAACTTCAAAATGTTACCAGCTCAAAATGGATTTAACCAGACCAAATATGGTGAATTTACTCAGATGTATGGAACATCTAAAAAATCTACCAGACCATCAGGCAGGCTAGCTGTAAATTTAGACCGTCCGTCAGCAATCTAGACCGTCTTTGGCGGTCGGACGGGCCTTATTTCATACACTGCATTAATTGCAGTAACATAATGATGTAACATGATGAATATTCATATCATCTTAATTTGCATGAACAGAATCAGAAATGTGAGTAATGTTAAGGAGCAGAGTATTACTTCACGGTTTCATCTGAACACCAGTTTATACAAGCACACATGCACATGTGGAAAGACAGAGAAATAGAGCTCTACTTGTGGCTAAGGAGAGTCTACATGAAATAAATACCCAATGTTTATCACAGATATTTAGTAATCTAATATACATACATCCTTTGCAGTGTTTGAAATTAAGGATGAAAGTCAAGGGGTCTTTGTCATAGTTAAAAATTATGGGACTTTCACATCCAAAGATTTAAATCCTATTGCCCAAACCACCCAAGACCCTTCACCCCTCTGTATATACAACACTGCTAAGATCACATTTCTACAGATAGTTACATTATGTACACAATATATGAACCACATGCAGGTCATGTATACAAGATGTTTATAACATCTCCTTATGGTATCCACTTTATAACATTCAACAACAGCAGTTTTCATGAAATGTCAATGTTTCTACTATATTTAGTTAAAATAATTTACCTTTTATTGTTTCTGTAAAAACTGATTTGTTGCAATGGTAATTTATTCATTAACTTACTTCATAACTGACAAAAATATTGCCTTAATTTTGTCATGACATGATTGTGATTCAGACAAAACACGTTGGTTCCATATTAAAATGTCTCACTACAGGCACACTACATACACAAATTGCTGTAAAATATGTATAAAAAGAAACACAAGATACAGATTATAGTACAAACATTCATAATACATTAATTAACAGTGCCTAATACAAAAAAATAAATAAACATACAGTGCAAACAGGTATTCTACAAGTATCCAAACACTGTATTCATACTTGATGTATCGGACTCCTCCCCTCCTGTATTCCCACTGGATGTATGTGACCCCTCCCCTCCTGTATTCTCACTGGATGTATGTGACCCCTCCCCTCCTGTATTGTCACTGGATGTATGTGACCCCTCCCCTCCTGTATTCCCACTGGGTCTATCAGACTCCTCCCCTCCTGTATTCCCACTGGATGTATGTGACCCCTTCCCTCCTGTATTCTCACTGGATGTATGTGACCCCTCCCCTCCTGTATTCCCACTGGATGTATGTGACCCCTCCCTCCTGTATTCCCACTGGATGTATGTGACCCCTCCCTCCTGTATTCTCTCACTGGATGTATGTGACACCTCCCCTCCTGTATTCCCAATGGGTCTATCAGACTCCTCCCCTCCTGTATTCCCACTGGATGTATGTGACCCCTCCCCTCCTGTATTCTCACTGGATGTATGTGACCCCTCCCCTCCTGTATTCCCACTGGGTCTATCAGACTCCTCCCCTCCTGTATTCCCACTGGGTCTATCAGACCCCTCCCCTGCTGTATTCTCACTGGATGTATAACACATACTCTGCTGTATTCTCATTGGGTCTCTCAGTCTCTCATTGGGTATCTCAGCGTGCTAGTAACAAGCCCTCTTCAATCTAACATACTTATGTGGTTTAAGTATTGTGTGTTCTAATCATTGTCCTGTCTGCCTTACCCTGTCTTGTAGTACTATTACTGGCTCTACTACCAATGCTACAATGGTAACTTATAAACAGTAATAATATAATGTGAAACTGACAGACTACCTCATCAAACATCAATATCCAGAGATTACACAATTAGATCATGCCAAATTATAGTGTATAAAGAAACATATGGGAATTCATTGCTGAAACTTCATGATCTCAGTCACAATAATGAAAACAAATGCTGGGGATCAAATTACTGAACAATACTCCTACCGTACATGCACTTTACATATACTGAGATTAACAAAGAATCACCCTTGTTACAATGGTTTTCATGAATGACGTTGGTCTCTAAGTGACCCAACTGAAGTGATGGAGTATGTACATATGAATTTATAACATGTAACCAGCGAGCTGACCGGACATGTGCACTGCTAGAACACTACATGTATTCACATCCATCCTACTGCTGCCTTTGATACAAGATGGTGTTCTCAAATAAATCAACCTCTCCTACAGTAATCTAGTTAATCTAGTACACTAAACAAATTGTTCTAGCATGGCTCTTGAATGATTTTGGCCTTGTGGATGTGGACATGGTTGCTATTGGTGCTAGTAATGAAACATTAGCTTCCCCACTGCATCCAATGGAACAGAAAGATTAAAACAATGCCAACACTATAATTAAAGCTATAGATATAATGATGTGATCATCTTGCATCCGTTATGTACAATCACACCTTAAAAGCTTGATTACCAAAACATACTGCAACCCTTATTTGATTATAATGCATCACTACCTTCAGTTCATTGGTTTCTCTATGGTCAAAATAGTTTTCTTCTCATGATAATCATCCCAACCAAATGGCAGTACATTTAAGTCCAATGTGCACATGTTTGTAAATGTACGAAGTCAAAGAGTCAGTGTTTGTAAATGTCGACCTTGCATCTGCCCGACTGTTCAACCTTGCAGGACTGAGTAGAGATATACGGCATAGAAAGCTTTGTACATGAGTGTACCATCTTGTGAAAAATGCTACATATTTCTGACAATCTGAATGGACAGAACAGCGACAAACTGGCTATCAAATATATTATAAATACTCACTAAAACATGGCCTAGGATCTTGTGGACTTCATGATGTATGCATACTTTGGAATGGTTTGTATTACAAACATGACCCTTCCTGTAGCCAAATCTACTGAAAATTCTCATCGCTGATTATAGTAGGGGGAGGGAGAAGTTTCATGTTGTCAGTATTTCCAACAGCAGAGGATGGAGTCTCTCTCCACCAATCTGCTGTCTTCATACTGATAGATTTTCCTTTCTCAGCACTAGTCAGATTGAATGATACATGTTTATCAGATCTGATTTCATCCATGATGTGAAAACTGTCAGAAATATGTAGCAATCAAAACGGATAAATAAGATCATAAATGACTGTCCATAAGGTAAAACACAGCTTTAGTATACAAAGAGATCTGGGAACTGCATCTCAAACACAGGCACGGATGTTGCTGACTTGTCATCATCATCAGTGACAGCAGCGTTGGTGGGGTTCGGGACAGTCTCCTCCACCATGTCCAGGATCTCACTCAGCTTGTTGTGGAAGTGGTTGGACTGCAACAACAACGTCACCGCACAGTTACTTATTGTGTCCAGCAAGCTATCCAAACGTTCTATTGGCCACCAGCGCCAGGGTTTTACGCCACAATCATCATTATCTTTCTATATCTACAGACTACCCTGTAAGTGTTTCAGTACGAAGTTCAGTTTTTCCAAATGTGTGAGATATGAAGATTAAGACACAGTTCTGAGGAAATCATGGTGTATTAACTGAACCTGACCATCTTCCCTATGCCACCTCTTTTGACAAGCACAGGATAGTGGGAAATGATTTAATCTCTGATGTCTGAGGGGGGGCTATATTATTATAAAAGCCATGGCTAAACTGATATCCTCAGGTCTGTCACTACTCACCTTAGCTTCTGACCTGGCTACAATCTCCTCGAAGGGAGCTTTCTGGAAGGTCTCCAGGATCTCCTTCCGCTTCTTGTCCTCCTGCTCCTTGTTGGCACAGCTGTCCTCAGCTGTAACATACACTCAAGCAGGTTACAACAAACAGCGATAACCACACACTCTCAGCCAAGTCATTACACACTCTCAGCCAGGTCATAACACACACTCAGTCAGGTCATAACACACTTGGTCATAGCAAACAGGCAGATCATAACACACTCTCAGCCAGGCCATAACACACACTCAGTCATGCCATAACACACTTGGTCATAGCAAACAGGCAGGTCATAACACACTTGGTCATAGCAAACAGGCAGGTCATAACACACTTGGTCATAGCAAACAGGCAGGTCATAACACACTCTCAGCAAGGCCATGACACACACTCAGTCATGTCATAACAGACTCTCAGCCAGGCCATAACACACACTCAGCAAGGTCATAACACACACTCAGCAAGGTCATAACACACACTCAGTCATGTCACAACACAATTGGTCCCAGCAAACAGGCAGATCATAACACACTTGGCCATAGCAAACAGGTAGGTCATGAGACACTTGGTCATAGCAAACAGGTAGGTCATAACACACTTGGTCATAGCAAACAGGCAGGCCATAACACAATTGGCCATAGCAAACAGGCAGGTCATAACACGCACTCACCCAGGCCATAACACACTCTCAGCCAGGTCATAACACACACTCAGTCATGTCATAACACACTTGGTCATAGCAAACAGGCAGGTCATAACACACTTGGTCATAGCAAACAGGCATGTCATAACACACGCTCAGCCAGGTCATAACACACACTCAGTCATGTCATAACACACTTGGTCATAGCAAACAGGCAGGTCATAACACACTTGGCCATAGCAAACAGGCAGGTCATAACACATTCTCAGCCAGGCCATAACACACACTCAGTCATGTAATAACACACACTCAGTCATGTCACAACACACTTGGTCATAGCAAAAGGCAGGTCATAACACACTTGGCCATAGCAAACAGGCAGGTCATAACACACTCTCACTCCCAGGCCAGTAATGTCACAACACACAAACAGTCAGGTAATAACACCGCTCTCACTCATGTCACAACACAGCTTGGTCATAGCACACACTCAGTCATGTAAAACACAGGCAGGTCATAACACACTCTCAGCCAGGTCATAACACACTCTCAGTCAGGTCATAACACACGCAGCAGGTAATCCAGTCATGTCACACCACACTTGGTCATAGCAACAGGGCAGGTCATAACACACTCTCAGCCAGGTCATAACACACTCTCAGCCAGGTCATAACACACACTCAGTCATGTAATAACACACACTCAATCAGGTCACAACACACTTGGTCATAGCAAACAGGCAGGTCATAACACACTCTCAGCCAGGCCATAACACACACTCAGACAGGCCGTAACACACTTGGTCATGGCAAACAGGCAGGTCATAACACACACTCAGTCAGGCCATAACCAACACTCAGACAGGCCGTAACATACTTGGTCATGGCAAACAGGCAGGTCATAACACACTCTCAGACAGGCCATAACACACACTCAGACAGGCCGTAACACACTTGGTCATGGCAAACAGGCAGGTCATAACACACACTCAGACAGGCTGTAACACACACTCAGACAGGTCATAACACACTTGGTCATGGCAAACAGGCATGTCATAACACACACTCAGACAGGCCGTAACACACTTGGTCATGGCAAACAGGCATGTCATAACACACACACTCAGACAGGCCATAACACACACTCAGACAGGCCATAAACACGCCGTCATGGCAAACAGGCAGGTCATAACACATACTCAGACAGGCCGTAACACACACTCAGACAGGTCATAACACACTTGGTCATGGCAAACAGGCAGGTCATAACACACACTCAGACAGGCCGTAACACACTTGGTCATGGCAAACAGGCATGTCATAACACACACTCAGACAGGCCGTAACACACACTCAGACAGGCGGTAACACACACTCAGACAGGCCGTAACACACTTGGTCATGGCAAACAGGCATGTCATAACACACTCTCAGACAGGCCGTAACACACACTCAGACAGGTCATAACACACACTCAGACAGGCCATAACACACACTCAGCCAGGTCACAACACACTTGGTCATGGCAAACAGGCTTGTCATAACACACACTCAGACATTCGCCATAACACACACTCAGCCAGGTCATAACACACTTGGTCATGGCAAACAGGCGTCATCAACACACACACTCAGACCGCCATAACACACACTCAGCCCAGGCGTCATAACACACACTCAGACAGGCCATAACACACTTGGTCATGGCAAACAGGCATGTCATAACACACACTCAGACAGGTCATAACACACACTCAGACAGGTCATAACACACTTGGTCATGGCAAACAGGCATGTCATAACACACTCAGACAGGCCATAACACACACTCAGACAGGTCATAACACACTTGGTCATGGCAAACAGGCATGTCATAACACACACTCAGACAGGCCGTAACACACACTCAGACAGGTCATAACACACTTGGTCATGGCAAACAGGCAGGTCATAACACACACTCAGACAGGCCGTAACACACTTGGTCATGGCAAACAGGCAGGTCATAACACACACTCAGACAGGCCATAACACACACTCAGACAGGCCGTAACACATTTGGTCATGGCAAACAGGCATGTCATAACACACTCTCAGCCAGGCCATAACACACACTCAGACAGGCCGTAACACACTTGGTCATGGCAAACAGGCAGGTCATAACACACACTCAGACAGGCCGTAACACACACTCAGACAGGCCGTAACACACTTGGTCATGGCAAACAGGCATGTCATAACACACTCTCAGCCAGGCCATAACACACACTCAGACAGGCCGTAACACACTTGGTCATGGCAAACAGGCATGTCATAACACACACTCAGACAGGTCATATCACACACTCAGACAGGCCGTAACACACTTGGTCATGGCAAACAGGCATGTCATAACACACACTCAGCCAGGTCATAACACACACTCAGCCAGGTCATAACACACACTCAGACAGGCCGTTACACACACTCAGCCAGGTCATAACACACACTCAGACAGGCCGTAACACACACTCAGCCAGGTCATAACTCACTTGGTCATGGCAAACAGGCATGTCATAACACACTCTCAGCCAGGTCATAACACAAACTCAGACAGGCCGTAACACACTTGGTCATGGCAAACAGGCATGTCAAAACACACACTCAGACAGGCCGTAACACACACTCAGCCAGGTCACAACACACACTTGGTCATGGCAAACAGGCTTGTCATAACACACACTCAGACAGGCCATAACACACACTCAGCCAGGTCATAACACACTTGGTCATGGCAAACAGGCATGTCATAACACACACTCAGCCAGGCCATAACACACACTCAGACAGGCCGTAACACACTTGGTCATGGCAAACAGGCATGTCATAACACACACTCAGACAGGTCATAACACACACTCAGCCAGGTCATAACACACACTCAGACAGGCCGTAACAACAGCCAGGTCACAACACACACTTGGTCATGGCAAACAGGCTTGTCATAACACACACTCAGACACGCCATAACACACACTCAGCCAGGGCATAACACACTTGGTCATGGCAAACAGGCATGTCATAACACACTCTCAGACAGGCCGTAACACACACTCAGCCAGGTCATAACACACTTGGTCATGGCAAACAGGCATGTCATAACACACACTCAGACAGGCCGTAACACACACTCAGCCAGGTCATAACACACTTGGTCATGGCAAACAGGCATGTCATAACACACTCAGACAGGCCGTAACACACTTGGTCATGGCGAACAGGCATGTCATAACACACACTCAGACAGGCCGTAACACACACTCAGCCAGGTCATAACACACACTCAGCCATGTCATAACACACTCTCAGCCAGGCCATAACACACTTTCAGCCAGGTCATAACACACACTCAGTCATGTCATAACACACACTCAGTCATGTCATAACACACTTGGTCATAGCAAAAAGGTAGGTCATAACACACACTCAGCCAGGTCACAACACACACTCAGCCAGGTCACAACACACACTCAAGCAAATCTCAACATTCATTTGTAGGTATGTTACTGACCATGTTATCTGCACATTCACTTACATAATGTCATTTCAAATTCGGAAACATTTGTCTTTTGCAAGAGAACTTTAAAACAGAGAACAAATCCCTCACACTAACTTCAGGGCTTCAGACAATATTTTGAACCTTTTGAGTATATTAACGATATTGATGCTAAATTTCATCACATGTTTGATTACATCTAGTTGAAGACATAAGTATGAGCTCTCACAAACATGTCACAAACCAAAGGACACCAAAAAATGAACAACAAGAATGTACAATTTAGTGATCTCTCTCAAAACCTTACCGTTTCAATGCCCCACCTTAAGGATGAAAGTTACCAAATACCACAAGGAACACTGCTTGAACATTTCCAACTTTGAGAGATTTAGAGTGAATTCGACCTTCATTATCAGTTGCAAGTATCTTAAGAACATTTCAAAGGGCTATCAAGCATGATAACCAAACAAGATATGCCATGTTCTTGTCATTTAAAGTAGGTCACTGTGAACTGTTACAACTTGTCATACATATTTACAAATAATGTGACTACAAGAAGGCTGTAACATCATCTGCAGAAAGAAGCAATTCAGTGATAATGACAACCATAATTTAGAAATGACCTTCAAGATCACCTTGACCTTAAACTTAGGTTAGTCACAACCTTTTAGTGTTTTCAGCCAGCCCTCAGAAACCATGTACCCGGTTCTACTGGCCTACATTACACCAACAGACAACAACAATGGTTATGCAATGCATGTTTTACTGTTAGGTTCCACTGAGAATGTGCCTGGTTCTTTCATTAAGATGCAAACTATCTGGGGAACTGTGTCGTTGTTCGCAAATTGTGCGGCTAATTCTGTCTGAGGTGTGTATATATTCAATAGTTTGACAACCCTCTGCTTGATTTCTTTGCTGGGCCTGAAACTGTTAATAAACATTAACATAAAATAGAGAGTACAAAGCCCAGACATATCAAGTGTTTTCCGCTGCCTTCAACAAAGTTAGTATGGAAACAGCAGTCTTGTGCTGTAAACTGATCAAACGTACCCAACATTTTCTTCAGTGATTCTACGGTTATTTCCTCGTCAACCCTTCTCTGGAAGGAGAAAAGACAAAATAACTAAGTCAGCAAATAAATGAAAATACATTCATAATGAAAGACAAATGTTTGATAGGCGAAGTCATCAGTATCCTAGCTGTATCATACTGGTTGTGAACATCAACTCTGGGCATGGCATCACTGCCAGCCATTCCTAAATATGCTAATTCCAAACGCCAGTTCAGAAGAAGGTACTAATATGCATACCTCTAATTATGACACACAGAGAGACACTGAGTCATGATTAAGTAAATAGTTCCATGTGTTTGTTGAGAGAAATTCTGACAGGATTTGGATATACTGTATCTGTAATGAAACGTTCAGCGTCAGTGAAATAAGGGAGCTTACAACCATTGTGGTAGCAGCATCTTTGATCTTTGATCTTACCCTGAGCATTGAAGGGGAACCATCGACACTCTCCATCTCAATGTTGATAGACCCTATGTCACTAACACTCCGCCCAATATCAGGAGTCTCTGAAAACACACAATTACAAAATAAAAAAAAGAAAGCTAATAATTCAGTGTAGAATTTCCATGAAATGATTCTATTTTAACTCTTGATAAATCTAACCCAAAGAATGACAACAAATGTGAAGGAACTATGAACCCAGTCTTGTTTCATGAAGCACTCCCATCAGTACATCGGTGTTACCTGCAGCGAAAGGTTTGTGCGTGAACGGAGTTGAGAGTCTGGAAGTGTCATGGCCACTGCCACTCAAGGCTTCTGCAATCTGGGCCTGGGAGAAGAGCCAGCTGTCTTTGACTGTTTCACTTGCTGGGTAGCTGGTAACACAGGACAAACTTTATATCAACCTATAGTGGGCCATAGATCAATATAACACACAAACAATCCCTAAATAGTCTTCTCATCCTACAGTGGGCACAAGAACCACTACCATAGATCAACTCAACACACAGGAACACGCCACACATCAACTTCTCTTCCTACAGTGGGCACAAGAACCACTGCCATAGATCAACTCAACACACATCAACTTCTCTTCCTACAGTGGGCACAAGAACCACTACCATAGATCAACACAACACACAGGAACACACCACACATCAACTTCTCTTCCTACAGTGGGCACAAGAACCACTGCCATAGATCAACACACCACACATCAACTTCTCTTCCTACAGTGGGCACAAGAACCACTACCATAGATCAACTCAACACACATCAACTTCTCATCCTACAGTGAGCACAAGAACCACTGCCATAGATCAACACAACACACATCAACTTCTCTTCCTACAGTGAGCACAAGAACAACTGTCATAGATCAACACAACACACATCAACTTCTCTTCCTACAGTGAGCACAAGAACCACTACCATAGATCAACTCAACACACAGGAACACACCACACATCAACTTCTCTTCCTACAGTGGGCACAAGAACCACTACCATAGATCAACACACCACACATCAACTTCTCTTCCTACAGTGGGGGAACCACAAGAACCACTACCATAGATCAACACACCACACACAGGAACACACCACACATCAACTTCTCTTCCTACAGTGGGCACAAGAACCACTACCATAGATCAACACCACACACACATCAACATCAACTCTTCCTACAGTGGGCACAAGAACCACTCAACACACCATAGATCAACACACCACACAGGAACACACCACACATCAACTTCTCTTCCTACAGTGGGCACAAGAACCACTGCCATAGATCAACTCAACACACAGGAACACACCATACATCAACTTCTCTTCCTACAGTGGGCACAAGAACCACTACCATAGATCAACACAGGAACACACATCATCAACTTCTCTCTTCCTACAGTGGGCACAAGAACCACTGCCATAGATCAACTCAACACACATCAACTTCTCTTCCTACAGTGGGCACAAGAACCACTGCCATAGATCAACTCAACACACAGGAACACACCACACATCAACTTCTCTTCCTACAGTGGGCACAAGAACCACTACCATAGATCAACTCAACACACAGGAACACACCACACATCAACTTCTCTTCCTACAGTGGGCACAAGAACCACTACCATAGATCAACTCAACACACAGGAACACACCACACATCAACTTCTCTTCCTACAGTGGGCACAAGAACCACTACCATAGATCAACTCAACACACATCAACTTCTCTTCCTACAGTGGGCACAAGAACCACTACCATAGATCAACTCAACACACAGGAACACACCACACATCAACTTCTCTTCCTACAGTGGGCACAAGAACCACTACCATAGATCAACTCAACACACATCAACTTCTCTTCCTACAGTGGGCACAAGAACCACTACCATAGATCAACTCAACACACAGGAACACACCACACATCAACTTCTCTTCCTACAGTGGGCACAAGAACCACTACCATAGATCAACTCAACACACAGGAACACATACACCTGAATTCAACTTATATAAATACATGTATGTACAAACCGAACATGTAAACAATAAACTAATTAGACCATGTACACAGTTTCAGTAGAACGAAATGGTTAGACAAAGAAATCTAGTTGTGGTTACTATTGTTTTCTACATACACAAACAAGTACATCGTGATACATATACTGATTGCCACAAAGTAAAACTGAACCAACAGAAATACTTCTTTACAAAATATCTGAAAGTTGATGTTAGATATAGATGTGAATGCTATCAATCCTGCAAAAATCATAAGGTAAGGTAAAGTCATTACTGAACAGCAGTGTCATACAGAAGCAAGGTTTGGTATGATGGATAGTGCTGCCTAGCAAATGCTGAGGCTAAAGTGACAGACAACAAAATAATTCGAAGTTGCAATGTATCAGTTATCCTTGAAATGGCATCAGGTAAAAAAGCTCCAGGATGTGTTTTCTTTGTGCCGCTGGGTACAGTGACCCGAGTCAGTAGGTCTCTTGGTCTACATCTCATACTCTATTATATTCTTTTTCCTACATTCATTTTCTGGAGTGAATGAGCAGCCCTGAATATCAATTAAGTTTGTTTTGTCAGTGGTAACTCAATCATTCCTGTTTTACAAATCTGTAAGTGTAGTCAAGTGCTATACTCTCTGAAAATATAAATCCAGAGATTGTCAGGATATTTTACACAGATGCTACTAGACATGTACTTATGTTACATTTACAGCTAAACTCACTTCACAAGCAATGACTTTTGTTTGTTTGTTTTGTTTGATTCTTTAATGTCCAGTATTCCAGCAACAGTAGTCAGTAAAGACACCATGAGCAGTCTGAACACCTCTCAGAAGTCGCCTTTTCTGACAAGAATGGCTTGCTGACGAGCAGTTCTCACAGACCTAAGCCGGTCCTGCAATGTCAAGTGGTTACAGTGTTTGATCATCATACCAGTCCTGGGTTCCAGATCACATTGGGGTCAACAGGGGGTTATTGCTGTGTCACCAGAAATAGTCTACAGTCCGCAGTGGTGACCAGCAAGATATTCCTACCTTTGATAACTGCTGCACCATACAACCACGGGTTATTCAACATCACAGTCAGCAATATATAAGCTATATCATGCAGCCTGTCAAATAACCAAGTCTGGACCAATCAGATCAGTGACTGAGCATAAGCATCAGTCCCACTTTCGATACATAACAGTTGATTGTTACAAAACCCAGATCCCTACAAGGCTCCATCAGCTAAGCAATCTGCCCCCAAATACACTTGCACATGGTTCCCATCCATTGTTGCAATCAGAACCATGTTCATTGGTGTTATTAGCAACCAGGGCAAGCTTCCTGTTCCAGCTGGCTAGACACAGATCACATTCACTGGGCCCTGCTAGACTTCTCGTCACAATACATGCTGCCAACTGACTGGACAAACACACACAACTACATTCGTCTTGTGACAATATACGATACACATTACATGTCTGAATATTCATGTGTAAGTCAGTACAAGCGCAGAATAAATGACATCTAACAATTGAGCATATGCAAGAATAACTAAGAATCGGGTGTTGCACAAAAACTGAAGCTTGTTTCAAACTGCAACAAACTACTACTGAAATATTGCGCAAACAATGATTCTGAGCAGTAGCTAGGACACTTAGAACATAAGTAAGTTAGGACAAAAACATCATGCTGGTTACATGGTTACACAGGAAGCCGTGTGAACACAGGATTCTGGGGCCGTGACGTTACTCACAGCAGGAGAACAGTGAGGGCAATCACGGATGGAGAAGGCACTGGACACTGTCATAACATGATTCATCAACGGTTCAAAAAGCAACACTACCAGCTCAAAAAGCACTTATGAAGTGAAGAAAGTTTTTGATGATAATTGAAAGTAAAATCTTATACATAGTGTATGACAAAGGAAGTATCATATTCAGGCAGATTCTGTACACATTCAGTTAGGTGCCCAAAAAGTTTCTTTACGTCGAAAGCTTAAAGCAAAAAGTTTCAAACTATTTTCTGTGATCATTATTTGTGCAAATGCTTTTAGTGTGTTGAAGTTGAAGCACCATACAGCTTCATGCAGACACAACAAAGCATGACTGACTCAAAGTTGTCCATAAAGGGAGCATTTTGTTCGTGTCTCTAGCTGTGCCATTGTAACATCTCGGCCCCTTCTAAAGCCTGAATAGTAGAAGTTGTTGTAAAGGGAGGTTACCCATGCTGTTACTTACAGATCGGAGTTCTCAAGCTCATCTAGGCTGTCAAGAGGGAACGGGATGGATCATTCTACTATCTGTGTACCCATTATATGTGTGCATACAGTGCTATGATGGAAACACTACAACACACACCTCCAGGCTCACATCATCAAGTCATTTATTATCAATGACAAACATGCTGTATTAAATATCGATGTTTAATGAAACAACAAACTTTAATGTACAATAAATTAGGTTAAAACTGAAAAACTTGCATAGAAGGATCTCTGTATCTTATTACATACTTACTGTAAAATATCAAACACATATTCACTGGAAATGACTATGGAACAATACCATTTGATGGTTAACAGTAGGCCGCAAACATAGACCTGAGTTACCTCCCTTAAATTACATCAAAGATTGAAAGCACAGCAAACTTGTGACAGCTAATAAAACATTGGTATTCGATTGCAAAACTTATATTTACCTCATTTAAAGCAAAATGGCTTTTGCATGATCAAAAAATTCCTGACATAAAGCTTTGCAAATAAACAACAACTTGCAAGCAGAACAGAGAAAGTGTACAATGAGCTTCTGTAAATAGATCCACTGACATTACATTTATCTCTCCTAAGGACAAAACAACTATATAGACAGTAGTGTGTTTCAGGTTTCAGAATTGTAGTAGAAAACACTGTTACTTCAACTCAAACTTCACATAAACTTTGGTCAAGTGAAATGATGAAAGATACTGAATTTGATAGATAGATAGATATCTATTCCTTTGTGCAATGGCCCATCAACCTGCATAAGAGGAACAGAGAAGAAATTCAATGATAAATCTCCCTTCCCCATACAAGGAATTAGTGTCAATCTGTCCCTACACTACCGTGCGAGGTAACAGAGAGGGCTGTGTATGTATGCTTGGGAGTAGCATGCTATGTGGGGTTGTCTGCACCTACCTGTGTGGTCGATTTGTCCGGTTGTAGGCGAAGTTTGGCAGGAGATGGGGGGCCTCCTTACTGCGTGTATCTATCACCTGTCCAGTACAACAACATCAGTATCACAAAGATAATCTGCCCTGTACAACATGTCAGTGAAATTGACAAAAGGACTTGACAAAAAATACACATGACAACATGCTGCCTGATTCAATACTTGCACCTGTCGGTGACATTAATAACAATGGTTCCTTCACAGACCTCATCTCTGTCAGGAATATTATGATACCAGAATCAGACCTCAACATCCACTGACTAGTAGTTAAAATGCAAATCACTTTAACATTTTGGATCACCTTAATCACACCTTTCTCTCTGGGAAGTTTCACAGTGAGTTAAGGCTGATGGGGGTGCTTATAATGTCCACAGATAAATGTTTACTTGCAACAAAAAGAAACCATAGCAACAAAGCAAAGTGTAAATCACTAAAAAGATCTGTGTACACAATCAATAAACCTCATGACACACATGCCAGGCAGGTCATGGAAATTCCGATCAATATATTGATTCACATTAAGGTTTCACATTTGAAGAAAATAAATCCTGAGTCTGCTTCCATTACTGTATGACCATGAAGAAGAAAGAAGACAGTCTGGTGATTCTATAAGTATAGTTCAAGACACCTAAGCTACATACTGACAAGGAGGTCAAGACAGTGGTATTACATGAGCTACATACTGACACAGATGACTACATCTAGGAGGTCAAGACAGTGGTATCACCTGAGCTACATACTGACACAGCTGACTACATCTAGGAGGTCAAGACAGTGGTATTACCTGAGCTACATACTGACACAGCTGACTACATCTAGGAGGTCAAGACAGTGGTGGTGACACATTACCTAGGAGGCTACATACTGACACAGCTGACTACATCTAGGACTGACTGCTACACACAGCTGACTACATCTTTGGTTTTTTTGCCGCTTTTAGCAATATTCCAGCAACATCATGGCGGGGGAAACCAGAAATGGGCTTCACACATTGTACCCAGGTGGGGACTCGAACCCGGTCTCGCCATTGTGGCGAGCCAGCAGCTTTAACCACTAGGCTATCCCACTTTTAGGTGGTCAAGACAGAGGTTTTAGGTGAGGTCAAGACAGTGGTATTACATCTAGGAGGTCAAGACAGTGGTATTACCTGAGCTACATACTGACACAGCTGACTACATTTAGGAGGTCAAGACAGTGGTATTACCTGAGCTACGTACTGACACAGCTGGGGGATGGCAGTGAGCTGACTGACAAGGTTCAGGTATGCTCCTATCAGACCATGGATTGCACATTTGTGTGTCAGTGGAAGGCCCATGTTTGTTACAGCCATTTGCTGAAAAATGAAAGTCATAATTAAGTATATAAAGCCTCAAATTAAACAGGTTATTTAAATCATCGACATAGCATAGTCAATAGCAAGTGCAGATGACATTAACACTGGACTCCATGGTTGTGTACCAGATTACACACTCCAAGCATGCTTCCCTGATATTCGTTATCCTATCTCATGACTGATGGGCAGGCTGATCCATCTTTTGAGGGGATGGGCAGGCAGGCCTGTTGTGTCAGGACAGTTATACAAATAAGTGGAACACTCTGAAAATATAGGGGTGGCATGATCCCAATCCACAGAGTCTAGTATTAGTGGGATGAAAACTGAAGCTGATGTAATGACCAGTGTTGAACAAGTGAATATCTGGCTGGCTGAGGTGTTTGCAAATCATCCTGCAGGTGTCTTGGTTCAGCTGTCACTCTGTGGGAGCTGTCTGTCTGGAGAGAGAGGAAGTATCAGCAAGAATGTTGGAAATGCCTAGGAGTAAATGCAAATCTATAATGCACCTTTTCCATGTGAAAGGTACATCTTCTAAGCGCTAACACACAACCTGCTTATTTATTACACCAGATCACACACCAGGATATGATGAAGTAGCCCTTAAATAGGAGGACATCTGTGACTGATGAACATGAAGGTGAGGTGAAGGGGGCGCAGTGGGCGAGCTGGCTAAGGTGCCAGGCTACTGGTGCCAGGTTACTGATCCAGCGAGGTTGAGGTAACGGGATCGAGCCCACCTGTGAATGGGTGTAAAAACCTTGGTGTCAACTTTGTGTGCAGACTCTTTTAGTGTTGTCACTGTGCACTTAACCCTGTGCACTTAAAAGAACCCACGAATTCGTTGGTATATGACCAGATGGTGGCCACATGAATACGTGCAAACACCTAGTTGCAGATAGAGCAACATGCAGTGAACTTGGACAAAGTACTTTGACTATGTGTCCCAGTCCATCCAGCTGTGAATGGGTACCTCGTTAGGATGAGAAAGCCACAATAACTCGGTGCGCCTAGCGGCAGCAAGAGTTATATACTCCTCAGGAAGTTGAGATTATTATTGATACTAGTTGCATGGATATGTGAGCTATATAAATATCCTATAAATAATCTAGAAGACTCTACAATTGGATCCCTGGCAACTGAGGACTGTGATATTGACCATCACAACCATGTTCCCCGTAGAGCGCCGCCATGTCTTACAGTCAAACATAACTGCTTGAAATTCCTGGATAGTTGATCTCTCATTTTGGCATCGATGAAGAGATGATGGCTTAATGTGACCTATGTAAAGACCTCCAGGATCACACCACAGTTGCAGGAAGATTTAAAGAGACTAGAACTTGAGAAGCTGTGGAGTCCTGTGAGCAGGCATTGCTATATGTGGGCCATGAGACAACCAGAGACTGAAACAAGTTCCATGAGTCAAAGCTCCCTGTGAACATGGCAGCTGCCTGGGAAGAAATACACTTGAAGTTGTCAAAAAGTTGACTTGCCACCTTAGACACTGAATAAGAAAATCTGATCTGTATGACATGCACACAAATGTTAAAAATACCAGGTATATCAACTTTATCACACAGCTAGAAAATCACATGTTAATGTTTCACAAATGAAGATTATTAATCAAGTAATCAACACCCCCAAAACAAGAGTCTCGCTTGACACTCTTGATGTCTTGTTATACAGAGGCATGCTGGGACAAGGGGCCCGTAGGGTGTGTTTGCTAAATCTTCCTACACTGTTTTAAAATCAAAGAAAGGTGACATATTTCAATGTTGTGGATGGATAAGTTACAAAATGTTTTGAACAAACAAAAGCAACACAGTTCAAGGAAGATGCATGATGATGACACACATCTCAGCTTAGCTGCCTCAAGCTTTTTTAACACTTCTGCATACCTGAATATCAAGGGCGAGTCTGAAAAGTTCCACAAGTATCTCGTCACCTCCCATTTCGATGCAGATGAGGGCCATGGTGCAGTAGAGAGCCTCGAGGTTGTCCACACAGTTGCTCTCCATCTGCATGTTCTCCAGCAGGTGCCAGTAGAACTGCATCCCACTCTGTCAACACATTGATGATGATAGGCATCAGCTATGACAACATACATGGGATACGATAGACCATTAATCTCTATAGGCATCAGCTATGACAACATACATGGGATACGATAGATCATTAATCTCTATAGGCATCAGCTATGACAACATACATGGGATACTATAGACCATTAATCTCTATAGGCATCAGACAACTATATGACAGCATACATGGGATGACAACATACATGGACCTATAGGCATAATCATACATGGGATCTATAGGCATCAGCTATGACAACATACATGGGATCACGATAGACCTGTTAATCTCTATAGGCATCAGGTATGACAACATACATGGGATCACGATAGACCATTAATCTCTATAGGCATCAGCTATGACAACATACATGGGATCATAGGCATCATAGTATGACAACACGATAGACCTGTTAATCTCTATAGGCATCAGCTATGACAACATACATGGGATAACGATAGACCTGTTAATCTCTATAGGCATCAGACCATGTTAATCTCTATATGACAACATACATGGGATACATGATAGACCTAGACCTGTTAATCTCCATAGGCATCATATGACAACATACATGGGATACGATAGACCTGTTAATCTCTATAAGGCATCAGCTTTGACAACATACATGGGGGCATCTCAGGCATCAGGTATGTTGGGATAGACCTGTTAACATAGGCATCTGCTATGACAACATACATGGGATACGATAGAATCTCTATAGGCATCATGACAACATACATGGGATACAACAGACCTGTTAATCTCTATAGGCATCAGGTATGGACTTAGGCATCAGGTTAATACATTGGACTTGTTAATCCTGAGAGAGAATCTGACAAACAAGGATGATGAAGATGGGATTATTGCACCAGTGCCAAAAGCCTGCAGCTTTGATGACTCCATCTAACTCACCTTCTTCATGAACATGATGTCTTGTCTGCTGGTCTTCTCCACAGACAGGTCAAGGTCACTGACGTCTTTAGACATCCTGCAACACACAAATCTGGAATTGATGTCTGTAGGAGAGACAACACACAGAATACATAAGGCAAAACCACTTCTGTTTATGAATTGGCTCTTATGTTAGAGGCTGCAGGAACCCTCATGGAAACTGTATCAAAGGTTAGACAAATTTGATGATCTGAAGTTTAGGTTGGTAATAACATGGATTTTACTTGTTCAATAATGGTCGGTTGAGTGAGTGAGTTTCAGACCCCTCTTGGAGACTATTCCAGTCACATCAGGTCAGGTTAATGTTGAGGAAAAGCCCAAAGTGATGCAGTTCTTAAACATATACCACCTGTGCCCTGAGGTTGGCTGATCACTGAGGTGAAAGTGTCCTTCAAACGGTAATACACATAAATCATAAACATGTAATATCTATGATCAAACTTGGTACCTACACAACTGACTTGAGTTTGGTTGAGTTATTGTGCCTGTCAATCATGGTGTGCAGGATCTCCTGAACGATGATCCTCATCCCAGGATCATCCAGGAGGGACATCCGTAGCAGTGGATGCAGAAACTCGGGGGGGAACGCATTCTGCATGTTCATTGTCTTGTACTTGGTGGCAACCTGACAGAAAGAAACAATTGTTAACCAATAAATAATGCCACACATTAGGCAAGGTCATACTCTATGGCCACAAAATCCTCAGTTTATATATTTTTTACTGTCATAAGCATGGATAAGGGATAGAAAACTCTACCAACAAGGTAAGGCGAGGTGGATCAATACAGAGGGGATGCCACTTACCCTCAACAGTGTCTTCAGTAAGTTGATCTGAAGCTGTGTGTCCATGGAGCCTCTACAGGGACAGAAATCATCAAACAATCAACATGGACCACGAGTCATTACTCCTCTTTGCAACAACAGCCACTCAATATCAGCAGTCAGTCATGTTTAAGGTATCTTCCTCTCAAGCCAAACCAAACCCAGAACAGTGTTGCCCACCAGTGACAATCTTAGTGACAAGTTTCAGCTAGCATACAAGGAAATGTATATTCCTTCTCTTGTAAATTGAAACATAGATAATTGGCAATGAAATTGCAGGAAATGGATGTCTTCAACCTGAACTTACGTCAGAAATGAAATGAACAGAATATTTTTACTGTCACAAATTTGGTGTTGCACTGTGTCAACACACAACATGGCGCCATATGCTGGAGTTCTACATGACCAAGCATCGGATAGGAAAATATTGTGTAATGTATCTACTACAGGAATCATGTATACTGTGATGATGTGCTTCGTTCAGGGTCACTTATAGACTTGGTACACACAGTAGCATTGATTTTGAAGGCTTATAGAGTAGGGGTCGGCTTGTAGAGGAGGAATCACCTAGTACACAAGGGGTCGCACTATATGTGGTGATTTACAGGTCGTGTCAATGAACTTTGTAAACCAGTTTCTGTCATAAGTTCACTTGCTCTTGAAGTGCTACAGTTTTTCTACAGCAGAAACTTGGAGGTCATCACTGGGGTTAGGTGCTAAGAAACCTAGGCTTTTAACACTCATTTAAACAGCCAGTATAAATCATAATGGGAAAGAATCATTCCAGTTGTATCAATCCATCAATAGAAAAAAAGTGTTGAACTAAATCAAAAGTTAACAGGTTACCCAATATCCTCTTCATTTGTGAACTGTGGGAATTTGCCCATGACAAACATCATTATCTCAATCTTCTGATAGTCTGGAAGGTTGTTAGCAAACTCCCCTGAAACACAACACTCACAGATGTCAGTCCCACTGTAGCTAATGGTGACCCCCTGACAAGATAATGCCAAACAACAACAAGATGTAGCAGCAATTATTGCTAGCTGACTGAAACTATTGATCAGGACTCCTTAATGCTGATAGCACTGTTGGCAGGATGGTGTTGAGCTTCTAACAGACATTAGGGCCTGAGTGGCAGGTGGGGAGAGACAGTGACAGACATCAGTATCAGGACCTGAGTGGAAGGTTGGGAGAGACAGTGACAGACATCAGTATCAGGACCTGAGTGGAAGGTGGGGAGAGACAGTGACAGACAGACATCAGCATCAGGACCTGAGTGGAAGGTGGGGAGAGACAGTGACAGACAGACATCAGCATCAGGACCTGAGTGGAAGGTGGGGAGAGATAGTGACAGACAGACATCAGTATCAGGGCCTGAGAGTGGAAGGTGGGGAGAGACAATGAGAAGACATCAGTATCAGGACCTGAGTGGAAGGTGGGGAGAGACAGTGACAGACATCAGTATCAGGGACAGTGAGTGGAAGGTGGGGGGAGAGACAGTGACAGACAGACATCAGTATCAGGACCTGAGTGGAAGGTGGGGAGAGACAATGACAGACAGACATCAGTATCAGGGCCTGAGTGGAAGGTGGGGAGAGACAATGACAGACATCAGTATCAGGACCTGAGTGGAAGGTGGGGAGAGACAGTGACAGGCATCAGTATCAGGACCTGAGTGGAAGGTGGGGAGAGACAGTGACAGACATCAGTATCAGGACCTGAGAGTGGAAGGTGGGGAGAGACAGTGACAGACAGACATCAGCATCAGGACCTGAGTGGAAGGTGGGGAGAGACAGTGACAGACATCAGTATCAGGACCTGAGTGGAAGGTGGGGAGAGACAGTGACAGACAGACATCAGTATCAGGACCTGAGTGGAAGGTGGGGAGAGACAGTGACAGACATCAGTATCAGGACCTGAGTGGAAGGTTGGGAGAGACAGTGACAGACATCAGTATCAGGACCTGAGTGGAAGGTGGGGAGAGACACTGACAGACATCAGTATCAGGACCTGAGTGGAAGGTGGGGAGAGACAGTGACAGACACATCAGCATCAGGACCTGAGTGGAAGGTGGGGAGAGACAGTGACAGACAGACATCAGTATCAGGACCTGAGTGGAAGGTGGGGAGAGACAGTGACAGACAGACATCAGCACCAGGACCTGGGGAGAGAGTGGAAGGTTGGGAGAGACAGTGAGAGACAGACAGACATCAGTATCAGGACCTGAGTGGAAGGTGGGGAGAGACAGTGACAGACAGACATCAGTATCAGGACCTGAGTGGAAGGTGGGGAGAGACAGTGACAGACAGACATCAGTACCAGGACCTGAGTGGAAGGTGGGGAGAGACACTGACAGACATCAGTATCAGGACCTGAGTGGAAGGTGGGAGAGACAGTGACAGACAGACATCAGCATCAGGACCTGAGTGGAAGGTGGGAGAGACACTGACAGACATCAGTATCAGGACCTGAGTGGAAGGTGGGGAGAGACAGTGACAGACATCAGTATCAGGACCTGAGTGGAAGGTGGGGAGAGACAGTGACAGACAGACATCAGCATCAGGACCTGAGTGGAAGGTGGGGAGAGACACTGACGAGACAGACATCAGTATCAGGACCTGAGTGGAAGGTGAGGGAGAGACAGTGACAGACACATCAGCATCAGGACCTGAGTGGAAGGTGGGAGAGACAGTGACAGACAGACATCAGTATCAGGACCTGAGTGGAAGGTGGGGAGAGACACTGACAGACATCTGCATCAGGACCTGAGTGGAAGGTGGGGAGAGACAGTGACAGACATCAGCATCAGGACCTGAGTGGAAGGTGGGGAGAGACACAGACAGACATCAGTATCAGGACCTGAGTGGAAAGTGGGGGAGAGACACTGACAGACATCAGTATCAGGACCTGAGTGGAAGGTGGGGAGAGACACTGACAGACATCAGTATCAGGACCTGAGTGGAAGGTGGGGAGAGACAGTGACAGAGACATCAGTATCAAGGCCTGAGTGGAAGGTGGGGAGAGACAGTGACAGACAGACATCAGTATCAGGACCTGAGTGGAAGGTGGGAGAGACACTGACAGACATCAGCATCAAGGCCTGAATGGAAGGTGGGGAGAGGACATCAGTATCAGGACCCTGAGTGGAAGGTGGGGAGAGACAGTGACAGACAGACATCAGTATCAGGACCTGAGTGGAAGGTTGGGGAGACAGTGACAGACAGACATCAGTATCAGGACCTGAGTGGAAAGGTGGGGAGAGACAGTGACAGACAGACATCAGTATCAGGACCACAGTGGCAGGTGGGAGAGACACTGACAGACATCAGCATCAGGACCTGAGTGGAAGGTGGGGAGACACTGACAGACATCAGTATCAGGACCTGAGTGGAAGGTGGGGAGAGACACTGACAGACATCAGTATCAGGACCTGAGTGGAAGGTGGGGAGAGACAGTGACAGACATCAGCATCAAGGCCTGAATGGAAGGTGGGGAGGACAGTGACAACAGACATCAGTATCAGGCCCGCAAGTGGAAGGTGGGGAGAAAACAGTGACAGACAGACGCGCCAGTATCAGGGCCTGAATGGCACAGTTGATTGGAAATGTCACCATGTATGAATATGAAAAGACCGTTACCAAGATCAGGGAATTTAAGGATGCTTTTCTATCCTAGGTGCCAGACAGACCCGTCATCATAAATGTCTGAAGATTTCCTTCACATTTGATTCAATATTGCAAAAGAAAACGCCCTAATACCACTTGTTTTAAGCAAAATTACTGCATCTCACCTATAGTATTGATAATGGCCTCTTCAAACTTTCTGATTCTCTTTGTGTGTGTCATTGCCTTTGTTGTCAACGGAAATTTAAGGTGTCGCAGTAGGTTGTTGAACACACCTCCAGTACTGATGGTCCATGTTCGCAGCAATAAGAACTGACTCAAACAGGTGACGCTCCACTTTCATGTGAGGGTCACTGTTCAATGCTTGTCCAGGTGCTTCAAAAGACTACTGGATTACTGGGACCTATACTGAGCCTGAAGAGCATCACCAGTCTTTTATCACATCTGAAGCTAACATCACCAGTCTGATCATCAACATCTGACATGCTAACATCACCGATCTTATATATCAACATCTGACATGCTAACATCACCAGTCTTATATCAACATTACGACATGCTAACATCACCAGCCCGATATCAACATCTGACATGCTAACATCACCAGTCTGATATCAACATCTGACATGTCATCACCAGTCTGATATCAACATCTGACATGCTAACATTCTTATATCAAGACTAACATCACCAGTCTTATAATATCAACAGACATGCTAACATCACCAGCCCTATCAACATCTGACATGCTAACATCACCAGTCTGATATCAACATCTGCTATGCTAACATCACCAGTCTGATATCAACACATGACATGCTAACATCACCAGCCCATATCATCTGACATGCTAACATCACCAGCCTGATATCAACATCTGACATGCTAACATCACCAGTCTTATATCAACATCTGACATCAACATCACCAGTCTTATATCAACATCAACATCTAACATCACTCAGCCTTATATCAACACATGACATGCCAACATCACCAGCCTGATATGAACATCTGACATGCTAACATCACCAGTCTTATATCAACACATGACATGCTAACATCACCAATCTTATATCAACATCTGACATGCCAACATCACCCAATCTTATATCAACACACGACATGCCAACTTCACCAGCTAAACATCTAAACTTGAAACTACAACAACACAAGCCTAATATCAAGCATTGCCATCACTAGCTTTATATTGCGATATGCAAACATCACTGCCTTATATCAACACACGATATGCAGAACATCACCAGCCTTATATCAACACCTGTGACAACAAAATCACCAGTTTAACACATCATTGAAAATGACCCAATCTAGAAGAAAGCACCGGCACATCTCAAAGCTTATATGTATGTGATGCTTCACACACACAAATATTGACTGACTCTCTTCTTCTTCACCTCTCACTGCTGACTGACTGAGTTTAGGCTTTAAGCATATGTCCAGCAAATTCAGAAGAAGAAATAAAATTCACACATTTTAGCCCATGTCTTCTACTGAAACACTAAGGTAACATATGACCAAATTGTGAAGAAGAAATAAAATTGCACTTTTAGTCATAATGCCATAGTAGGACCACATTCCCATTATATGGCTGAGGGATATACTAAATGTGTTCACGTTTTGATACCATTTTCATCGAACAAGTGGAATTCCAATGATATCATGCTATCAGTTTTCCCAGAAAGTTCTATAAAGCGGTACTGAACAAGGGTAAGTATAATATACACTGACTGGTGATGGAGATGCATCCTCCAATGTAAGTCGAGGAATACATCCAAATGGTATAATTGTGCTCATGCTGGTTAAAATTGTGCATTTCAAAGTCAAAAGTGGTGAGTCATGTTCATGGGCACTGAGCTGATCGATTATTCTGTCGTCATCCATGTATAACTAATACAGAGAATACACAGCAAATTTGAAGCTTGTGAAGAGTTTGTTTTGACATAAGCGAAATGTTAGAATGGACTTTATGAATGAAAAAAGACTGAAAGCATGACCTTTCACACTCTTATCTTATCTTTAACTTATCTAAAATTTGTACACAGTTCAGTTGAAACATAAAATTCACAGCACATATTTGGACTGTATTGTAAGTGTGGCCAGCTGAACTCATGAACCTGGGAGAATACATGGAGTTGTGATCATGCTAATCAGACAGCCATCGATATGGTAGCAGTGTCCCACAGACACACAAGAGCACTGGCTGGGACAGCAAACGAGCGTGTAATGACACTATTAGCCAGCTTCGGCAATAAAGGGAGATTGTGGTATGTCCATGGGCAAGTGGAGAAGGCCACCGGTCAGTGTTGGTCCAGTCAGTATTACTGCCAGCCAAGCTGCCCTCGATGTGTTCTCCATTACACACAACACTGTCGGGGCCAGGACACCAGTTCACTGTGACAAGCAAATATCAAATAGTAGCCCTGGAGGAGTCATGGGAAAGTCAAGAGCACCTCAGGAAATGTACATGTTAATAAATGTCATCTGTCTCATGTGGAAATCCTCTCAGACAGTCAGCTTAATAACTATCGCGCCTCATTTCAGAACAATCCATCACTAACTGTCTGACAACAATTTTTGTTGTTTTTTATTGGAACTGATTTGATTATTTTTTCAAGATAAGGTGGTTAGATACAGCTTTTGCTGACTGGATAAGATAAGGAATGACAGTAGGTTTAACACTGTTCCCCCATTACTTCAGTGACATGGCATTATGTCCAGCTGCTGGATAATATAAGTTTACAATGGTTATAGGAAACCCATGAAAATATACATGCCTAACAAATATGAAAATAATCATTTTTATCAAAACCAAATGCATTATCTCTTCACATGCTTCTGACATTGATATAGTGAAGTCATCTGGGTTTACACAGCTTCTGAACACTATTCCATTTACACATCATGGCAATTAATAATGAATGGGTAAGAGCCACAAGCACAGGTATGGTTCTCACAGACCAAAGATTAAAAATGAGACCAATCTGATTTGAACCAGCACTTCCTGCACCTTGGTAGATGATGAGACTACACACAGTACTGTTTCTGTATAACAATCTTACCTGCACAGAGTACATGATGATCTTGAAGCACTTGATGGCAAACACATTGGGACTCCAAAGCTTGTGATTATCAAAAGTGACTGAAACATACAACCTACAACGTTGGAGAGAGCACAATGTAACAGTGTGGAGTGTTGTTTTTGAAAGTGTGTCTGCTAAACTGCAGTAGCAATGAATTCATTAATCCAGTGATCAATACTATGAACAACATCCACATGAATTACACCAAATCACCAAGCCTGACCATTAGATTTCCTCTTATAACAAACATAAGTTGCTGGAGATCGGTTCCTAAACCAGAGTCCCTCAGTGATAGAGATAAATTCATGAAAATATACAGATGTTGACAAGTGTCTGGATAGAAGGACATGATCCTTTAACAATGATTCCTGGATGACAGGAATGAACTCAGACCTTGAAGTGTGAACGTTGGTATATCTGCACCCTATCAGTACAAGATCTCCTTTGTGTCAGTACTTACAAGGTGATAGGACATACAGTATAGCGCCACTAATCATAAGGCATCAGGACCTGAGTGGAAGGTGGGGAGAGACAGTATCAGGACAGACATCAGACATCAGTACAGGATCTGAGTGAAGGTAGGGAGAGACATGACAGACATCAGTATCAGGACCCTGAGTGGAAGTGGGGAGACAGGTGACAGACATCAGTATCAGGACCTGAGTGGAAGGTGGGGGAGACAGTGACAGGCATCAGTATCAGGACCTGAGGGAAGGTGGGGAGAGACGGTGACAGACAGACATCAGTATCAGGACCTGAGTGGAAGGTGGGGAGAGACAGTGACAGACATCAGCATCAGGGAGTGGAAGGGAAGGAGAGACAGTGACAGACATCAGATATCAGGACAGTGGACAGGGGAAGGTATCAGGACAGACATCAGTATCAGGACCTGAGGGAAGGTGGGGAGAGACAGTGACAGACAGACATCAGTATCAGGACCTGAGTGGAAGGTGGGGAGAGACAGTGACAGACAGACATCAGTACCAGGACCTGAGTGGAAGGTGAGGGAGAGACAGTATCAGGACCTGAGTGGAAGTGACAGACATCAGTATCAGGACCTGAGTGGAAGGTGGGAGACAGAGACACTCAGCATCAGGACAGACATCAGTATCAGGACCTGGGTGGAAGGTTGGGAGAGACAGGTGACAGACAGACATCAGTATCAGGACCTGAATGGAAGGTGGGGAGAGACAGTGATGACAGACATTAGTATCAGGACCTGAGTGGAAGGTTGGGAGAGACAGTGACAGACATCAGTATCAAGACCTAAATGGAAGGTGGGGGAGAGACAGTGACAGACAGACATCAGTATCAGGACCTGAGTGGAAGGTGGGGAGAGACAGTGACAGACAGACATCAGTATCAGGACCTGGAGTGGAAGGTGGGAGAGACAGTGACAGACATCAGTATCAGGACCTGAGTGGAAGGTTGGGAGAGACAGTGACAGACATCAGCATCAAGGCTTGAATGGAAGGTGGGGAGAGACAGTGACAGACAGACATCAGCATCAGGACCTGAGTGGAAGGTTGGGAGAGACAGTGACAGACATCAGTATCAGGACCTGAGTGGAAGGTGGGGAGAGACAGTGACAGACATCAGTATCAGGACCTGAGTGGAAGGTTGGGAGAGACAGTGACAGACATCAGCATCAAGGCTTGAATGGAAGGTTGGGAGAAACAGTGACAGACAGACATCAGTATCAGGGCCTGAATGGCACAGTTGATTGGAAATGTCACCATGTATGAATATGTAAAGAGACCGTTACCAAGATCAGGGAATTTAAGGATGCTTTCTATCCCTAGGTGCCAGACAGACCGTCATCATAAATGTCTGAAGATTTCCTTCACATTTGATTCAATATTGCAAGAAAATGCCCTAATACCACTTGTTTTAAGCAAAATTACTGCATCTCACCTATAGTATTGATAATGGCCTCTTCAAACTTCTTCTCTGATGTACGTTTTGTGTGTGTCATTGCTCTTGTTGTCAACGGAAATTCTAAGGTGTCGCAGTAGGTTGTTGAACACCTCCAGTACTGATGGACCTATAGAGCCTCGGCAGCAATAAGAACTGACTCAAACAGCATGGCCAATGATGCCCACTTTCCGCGTGAGGGGTCACTCTTCACATGCTTGTCCAGGTGCTTCTAAAAGACTCTGGATTACTAGGTACCCATACTGAGCCTGAAACATCACCAGTCTTTATCAACATCTGACATGCTAACATCACCAGTCTTATATCAACATCTGACATGCTAACATCACCAGTCTTATATCAACATCTGACATGCCAACATCACCAGCCTTATATCAACACATGACATGCCAACATCACCAGCCTGATATGAGCATCTGACATGTTAACATCACCAGTCTTATATCAACACATGACATGCTAACATCACTAATCTTATATCAACATCTGACATGCCAACATCACCAATCTTATATCAACACACGACATGCCAACTTCACCAGCTAAACATCGAAACTTGAAACTACAACAACACAAGCCTGCAATATCAATGCCAAAGCATTGCAACATCACTTGCTTTATATCAACACATGATATGCAAACATCACCAGCATAACATCAACACCTGTGACAACAAAATCACCAGTTTAACAGAATTGAAAAATGACCTAATCTAGACAAAGCACCAGCACATCTCAAAGCTTATATGTATGTGATGCTTCACACACAAATATTGACTGACTTCTTCATTCTACTGGAAACACTAAGGTAACATATGTACAAATTGTGAAGAAGAAATAAAATTGCACTTTTAGTCTCATCGCCATAGTATGACCACATTCCCACATTATATGGCTGAGGGATATACGGTACTAAATGTGTTCACGTTTGATACCATTTTCATCGAACAAGTGGAATTCCAATGATATCATGCTATCAGTTTTCCCAGAAAGTTCTATAAACGGTACTGAACAAGGGTAAGTATAATATACACTGACGATGGAGATGCATCCTCCAATGTAAGTCGAGGAATACATCCAAATGGTATAATTGTGCTCATGCTGGTTAAAATTGTGCATTAAAGTCAAAAGTGGTGAGTCATGTTCATGGGCACTGAGCGACCGATTATTCTGTCGTCATCCATGTATAACTAATACAGAATACACAGCAAATTTGAAGCTTGTGAAGAGTTTGTTTTGACATAACGAAATGTTAGAATGGACTTTATGAATGAAAAAGACTGAAAGCATGACCTTTCACACTCTTATCTTATCTTAACTTATCTAAAATTTGTACAGTTCAGTTGAAACATAAAATTCACAGCACATATTTGGACTGTATTGTAAGTGTGGCCAGCTGAACTCATGAACCTGGGAGAATACATGGAGTTGTGATCATGCTAATCAGACAGCCATCGATATGGTAGCAGTGTCCCACAGACACAAGAGCAAGGCTGGCGGACAGCAAACGTGCGTGTAATGACACTATTAGCCAGCTTCGCAATAAAGGAGATTGTGGTATGTCCATGGGCAAGTGGAGAAGGCCACCGGTCAGTGTTGGTCCAGTCAGTAATTACTGCCAGCAAGCTGCTCCCGATGTGTTCTCCATTACACCAACACTGTCGGGCCAGGACGCACCAGTTCACTGTGACAACAAATATCAGTAGCGCCCTGGGAGATGCATGGGAAAGTCAGCACCTCAGGAAATGTACATGTTAGTAAATGTCATCTGTCTCATGTGGAAATCCTCTCAGACAGTCAGCTTAATAACTCCACGCCTCATTTCAGAACAATCCATCACTAACTGTCTGACAACAATTTTTTGTTGTTTTTTTATTGGAACTGATATGATTATTTTTTTCAAGATAAAGGTGGTAAGATACAGTTTTGCTGACTGGATAGATAAGGAATGACAGTAGGTTTAACACTGTTCCCCCCCATTACTTCAGTGACATCATTATGTCCAGCTGCTGGATAATATGTTTACAATGGTTATAGGAAACCCATGAAAATATACATGCCTAACAAAATAATGAAATAATCATTTTTATCAAAACCAAATACATTATCTCTTCACATGCTTCTAGACATTGATATAGTGAAGTCATCTGGGTTTAACACAGCTTCTGAACACTATTCCATTTACATCATGGCAATTAATAATGAATGGTAAGAGCCACAAGCACAGGTATGGTTCTCACAGACCAAAGATTAAAAATGAGACCAATCTGATTTGAACCAGCACTTCCTGCACCTGTAGATGATGAGACTACACACAGTACTGTTTCTGTATAACAATCTTACCTGCACAGAGTACATGATGATCTTGAAGCACTTGATGGCAAACACATTGGGACTCCAAAGCTTGTGATTGTCAAAGTGACTGAAACATACAACCACAACGTTGGAGGAGAGCACAATGTAACAGTGTGGAGCTTTGTTTTTGGAAAGTGTGTCTGCTAAACAGAGTAGCAATGAATTCATTAATCCAGTGATCAATACTATGAGCAACATCCACATGAATTACACCAAATCACCAAGCCTGACCATTAGATTTCCTCTTATAACAAACATAAATTGCTGGAGATCGGTTCTAAACCAGAGTCCCTCAGTGATAGAGATAAATTCATGAAAATATACAGATGTTGACAAGTGTCTGGATAGAAGGACATGATCCTTTAACAATGATTCCTGGATGACAGGAATGAACTCAGACCTTGGTGTGAACGTTGGTATATCTGCACCCTATCAGTACAAGATCTCCCTTTGTGTCAGTACTTACAAGGTGATAGGACATACAGTATAATGCCACTAATCAAAGAGTGGTAGTATTGCAAGCTCCAAGATCTAGGCAAAGCGCTTATTCCCTAGGGACACATACTCAATACTGCAGCAGTGTTTCATGCAGGTTCCATTCTATATATCACTCATTCAGAGACATTAAGAAACATCAGACCATGTCAGTATCTTGTTCTAATGAAGCAATATATCATCCTGGACAATGGACACAGGAGGAAGCAGTATGTATCATGTTGCTTCCCATTAATGACTTGGACTGTGACAATTACTAAAACGCAAATACTGAAAAGCTATGCTTCTTAATTTTTACTGGTAATGTCGTAAAAATATTGATTCTTTCTTAAAATGATCAGAACAAATTTCAAACAAAACCCAATAGCTTATGCAGGTGAGTATGTTATGTAAGGAAAACAGGGCACAGACTTCAGCCACTACCAACCACTAGTAGTTAAGAAACAAATATGTCAAGGTATTTGTCATTAATTTTTCCATGTTAAATTGTAGTATCTTTGTAAATACACAGTCTATGTAGCTGTACTGTGACACACACAGATATGTACTGCAACCAGGGACATGGGTTTTCTTATTCTACACATTCACTGGACATATCATTGATAATGTGAGTCCATGTTTGTGTTTTATTGATCGTTTATTGATATGCATTTAACATAGGTACTTAATGTGATGCTCTGTATGAGGAACAAGAGACGTTGACATTATATTACATATTGTTGAGGTACTGTGTTTATGGAAACCAGTTGGGTCTTGAAATAAACTGTCTGGGAAATATGACCCTTATTGAGAACAGAAGTGTCCGGAGAGATCAGGATAACAAATGTCCTGACTAACTCATCATAGCAGCATAGAAATGTCTTTGTAATTATGTATAGATGTCACTACAGAAATGCTCAAAAGAAATGTTCAAAATTAACTGGATTTGGATCTAAAAAAGTTCAATTGCATATATAATTCGTGTACACAAGGGACTGGTCTATATACAAGTCCTGCTGTCACATCCTGTCATGAGGCTGTCATGAGGCTGTCATGTACAGGCATGATGTCATGAAATACAAGCTGGTAGAGTCATTAAAACCCTCCCACCTCACACTACTTCAATAAAACCCCATGAAGGACGCTACTGATTTCACCAGCTCAAGTACTGGCACACAGTCATCTGTGGTTGGAACTCTAACATCAGATTTACCCAAGTGATTAAGAGATGGAATGAACAAGGAAGTTATTGATTGTATTATTGATTGAGGCCCCTCCTGCAGCAACTGTCAATTTCATCATATTGCCCTGATTATGGCCATCACAGCATTAACCGGGCTGTAATCACCTCGGCCATTACTGCAGTAACCTTTTGTGGCAAGAAAATATTGACATGTTCTTTCACCACTCTTTGTTGTTGACATTAATGTGCCTGTCACTGATGACTTGTTGGAAAATGAAATAATACTCTATCTTAAACTATCAGAGATACAGGAGGCCTTGAAACACCTCTTTCAAATAATTTCAAACTTGTAATAAGGGATTTTCTTGTAACTCTCCCCTCAGACATAATAAGAACCTTGTTTATAAATAACACACCATCACAACAAGAACATTTTGTGATAGGACATGTTGTGGCAAACAAGGCAGCATCTTGTCACTTGTACATGTACAGTGGAGCTTAGCAGGCAAGTTTCTGTTCGAGCTAACATCAGTGATCATATATTCACAGCCTATTGTTGACTGTTACTTATGGACATACTAGGACTTATCAATGTGCAATTGTGAAAAAGAAAAGGAATATAAGTGAAATGAAATATTAGAGACAATGCATGCTGTTTGTTTGAGAAGACAGAGACCACCAATAGACGAGTCTCTGATCCAATAAGTACAGTCTTCACAACCCCCAATCCACTGTTGACCATTTACTTGTCGTTTACATTTTACAATTTTTATTTTTATGTGAAAATACTCTGCAAAACAAGTAACTAAAATAGTCGGAGCCACAAATGTTAAATAAATTCATTAAATTGTCAGTGACATTGCCCAAGATGCAGATCTACAGGGAGGGCGACAAATGGCCAGCAGTCCAACAAGTGTATATTTGGATCCAGCAGTGTGCTGTTGTTAACGCCTACTTGTGTGTCCTTGTTAACTCAGGCTACAAATGAGGCTCACTTACATTGTTCCTTGAAGTAATCAATAATGCCTTCAATTTATTCTGCTTGATGAAAACAAACAGGTCAAGTTTGAAGGCAGTGAGGGACAGTAGTGCTAAAGATGAGCTCCCATACATAAACTTGCACATATCTGTGTATGGAACGGTACAGTGACCCAGCTTATTATCAAGTATACTCGGACCTCATTGTATCGCGGCATTCATGGTATCGCGGCAAACGGTATTTCGGGTTTTCCGAGCAAGACACGCCTCCTAGCGGTGATTTGCATATGTAAATCGACAGCCAGACGTCAGTCGCTTGTTTACTTTTTAGAAACCAGCAGGATGTATCAAATCTTCGTAAGCATTATGCAGCAGAAATATTAACATTAAACTCTTGAATCTAATGGAATCTGTCTGAACCCCATTCATCAAATACACGCTATAATATTTACATTGTCGTATATGACCCTTCCACCACTCGATCTGAACTAGGTCGTCTGCATCTCATTGTTGCCATATAAGGCAGCGGAAGTGACGTCATGAGCTTTATTTATCTCCCGGTGAATACCAAAATTTGTAATTCAATTAAGGACACAAAACGTAAAAATGATCCCTGTTCACTGAAAACGATTTTGCACTCTAACAAACTAGAAATTTAGAAAGGATTTTATTATACTGTTGTTCACATAATTATTTATTCATATTATAACATTATTTCAAATAATATTTTGCATTGAAATCTTGTTGAAATCATGCCTGAAATAAAACAAAAAACAACAGTATGAACAAATATTAAGAAAATCATGATGAAATGATGTATTTTGGAAGTTTGGTGATTTCCTTGAATAAAATTTCATAATGGATGCAGTTTTGTGCACCTTTGATTAAAAAAATACCTCAACTGATTTCACATTAAGGTGAGTTAAACAATTTCATTTTTTGTTCCTACTTCGCCTTGCAATCTGAGTTTTAGTGTTTACCGCGATACGATGGAGTTCTATCCTTTGGTAAATATCAACCGGCTTCGTTCGTTTAATGGCTCCCGCTGAAACATTATCAAAGTTAAAATAATATTCTTTTCACAAATGTGTTGATTAAATGTGATGTTAATCGGATTTAATAATAGAATAGGCCTTAAAAGTTTTTAATTTCATTTACGATTACAGATATGTCAAGTACCGCGATACAACGAGGTCGCAGGCTACATGGGTTTGTATGCCAGTTTGTTCAGTGACATAAACACATTAGGTTTATTGCTGAACTTTGGTGTTTTTATATGAATCCAGTAATAGAGGCCTCTCTGCCAGCCAATATTTAATGTCTCACTGCTCATATGTCTCATAAAATCTTATAGATTTCTCCATTCCTGCCTACAGACATGGTGTTGCCTGATAGACCAGTGCTCATAGTGGGGCTAGCAATTCACCAGTAATTATGCCTATGAGACCACCAAGGTAAATGCCATGACAGGACGCTGTTGAGGTGTACCCATCATCAGGAGTATAGTTAGCCAGCACATGGTAATCAGTGGTTTTCACACAGGACCAAACATGCAAGATATGTCAATGTATGATCATGAATTTTCAGTAACAAGCAACATTAAACCAAGTTGATTGAGGCAGGACTTATCAATAACATGGATTTCAAGTGATTACAAAGGATTTACCTGACCAGGCCAACAAATGGGGGTCCTAAGCTACCAAATGATGATGTGAATGAAACGTCAAAACTAGTGCCATAGCTCTACAAGTTAGCCTGATAATGACACTTTTTAAATGGTTACAAAGACAGATGTTTAAAAAAGAAGTTGCTGTCAGCATGGATATTGAAATCATAGTGGGGACTGTAAACTCACCCCAGAGTCTATAGATCTGAACAAATAATGATGTCCTCATGTTGGGAAACTGGCTCAACCAACTATGCTGTTTGAGATAGTTTAAGGGTAGGACAAAAACAAGGTCAAAATTTAAAATACTTAAAAACCCAGAAAATATTGGTGAAAGCCAGGTGGCCATGTTGTCAATCAGATTTAAATTGAGATGTCATCTCTGGTGGAAACAACAATTTGAAATCTTTCTTTCTTCAATGAATCTGATGGTTACCACATAAGGACATGTATTTGGAGACATGTTAGGATAAAGAGCCAACATGCAAAGGTCAAAAAGGGTCAAAATGTTAAACATGGTGAAAAAAACACTGCTGTATTGAGCCACTCCTGTCTACAATTTCATTGCATTCTGGACAAAAAAGGCTACGTAATGTTCATAAGTAGTTTCAACTTACAACATGGCCCAAGAGCAAGTTTCAAATCAAAGGTTAAATCTAATACATACAAAAATCGACCTCTTTGTGGGGCCTTTTATTGACTACATGTGACAAATCTTGATTATCTTTGAACAAAATATTACTAGAGTAAAAAGCCAACACAGGTTTCACAAGGCCATATTGAAGGTGAGATTCAAACCTTCTGAACAGTATTCATTTGCATGGGCCCAGTGGTATCAGAGAAGTTGTGTCTGACACACAGAGAACAAACAGGCCACAACACAAGGTCACTTGAACACGCTGCCGCAGCTGATGTCAAACAACACAAGCCAAGGGGCCATTAGTTAAAAATGGATATAGAGTTTCCAAACTGACAGAATCTTAAAGTACAGATGCTACAGGAAGAATTTGACTGTGCACCCTATTTTTAAAAAATATGTATGAAAATTAATTGTAAGTGGCACCAAATTAAAAAATAGAAGAATTCATTCCTTGACATGCAAGAAAATATTCAGGCTCAAAGTGGAGGCACATTATTTTGGTATCCATTTTCCCTATATGTAAAGATGTGATGTCCGTAAATTCCCTGTAACACATCAGTCAGTTAGAGAGTACAAGGCTGACAGGAACTATGTGGCACAGACCAATTCTGCAATGATTAGACATGTTTTCACAGCTGCAGTTTTCATGACAGAATAAGAGTTTCACTGTGCGATTCCCTTTGAAAGTTTAAGTGACTTGATTTCAGCTTCCGAAGTGGCTTGTTAGGCCTATTTATACTCTTCACATTTGGATGTAATCAAATTTTCTCAATAAAAGAGGCAGGCATTTTTCCCTTGCTCTTAATTTCTCCTAGCAATTTGAAAATGAATAAAAGTAAATTGATTTTTGATTCAGCATGCTGAAGTCTAATCAGAAAGCGTTTGGTATAGATCGAGTCTGTTTGGCAATGCCACGTGTGTAATGCGTGGAAGAGACGAAGTACTTTCAGCAGGCCGATATTGACCAAGACTCAGGTAGAACAGCCTGAGAGTAGGAGACCCATGGGAACTGGAGTGAACACAATGCTACCTGGCAACTCATAGCCCCAAGCAATGCAGTCTGTCGTTACGCCATTCACACCCACAGAGTGCAGGAGGAAGATTAAATGGTATGGGATCCTGGCTATATCATATACGTGGAGCACAATTGCCTTCTGACCAGGCATGTAATCACAAAATTGGTTTGTTTGTCGTTCCGTGTATGTCAGTAAAGGTGGTGTATAAGAGTGATTAGTGACAGCATCAGCATGATTGCCTGGACTGATATAACAGGTGCTGGAGACAAAAGGCACACTTTATCACTCATGCTCTGACATGGATGTAATGAATAACCTAACTGATACAGTTATATAATTAGTTCTGGCAAACATGCATTACTGTCTGACCAAACTAACAATATAATCCATCCATCTGTCTGCCTGTTTGTCTGTTGTAGTGCATGCACACTAAGATGCCATGTTGCAGTTTAGCATAGATGCCCTCTGAAACATGATTGCCTTACGCCAGGCACCAAGGTGGTAACAAGTAACATATTCTAATGTCTTTCTTCAGATGCAGCAAGGGATTAAACCAACAACCTTCCATTCTCTAGACAAACTCTCCTTCCAAACCAGCCAGGCCATCTCCCACACATGGTCGCCATGGTACCCATGGGAGACATGTATGTGATGATCCAGTGAGCAACAGCCAAGGAATATTAAGAGCAAGCCAGCCTCATCTTACACACACATTAAAAAAACACACCATGTATTAGTGATTCATCACAATGTTCTCACTGGACAGAATTTCTGCCAGTCATCCTCTTTAATCCTTGCCACTCATTCACAGGCAGCTTTTGATCAATATTCACTGTCTATTCCAACTGTGCCTACAGTCACTCGGCAACAGTTCATCTCCTGTACTCAATGACCCTCCCCACTATATCATCCCACGATGTGTCATGCCGTCTCCAGGACTCCCTCCTCAGGTACACACAACAAGAGGAAAATGAATTGTGCTCACTTTCACTTGTTTCCCACAAACAGCAAAACCAAAACAAATCTCACAACTTTTTTGTCTGCAAATTGACCTGTCAATATGGAAAAGTGAATCTCTAATACTCCCTGCTTGTCAAACAACACATACATGGCATGACATCGGAGAAGTGACAGAGAATTAGAATAAAATCAAACCCAACAAAAACAAGACAGAAAGTATCTACATCCTACAAATGTACTCACATTAACACTGGCCTGAGCACCGTCTCAATGTAGCCAAAGGACGCCCGACACACCAGGTCCCGAAACACCGTCTCCGCAGCATAGGAGGGACTCTCCTCATCCCGGGGACTGTCTGTACCCTGGCTCAACACACTGTCCAGGAAAGGAGGACAATTAGCACAGTACAACATATTGCAACAGTACAATGTTTGAAAACTAGTGCAAAACATTTCTATACCCTAAGTGATAGCTTAACAATGGGTGGCCTGTATTAGGTCAGCGAATATGGCTAGCCTGTCCTATGCTCTCTACAGATTTCTGTTATTGAAACCCAAACATACTCCAAACATACACTGAAGAAAGAAGAAAGTTTCAAGACCTGAGTAGATTTAACTAAACCTGCAGAGGTTTCCACTTCTTTGAAGAGAGTCGTCCTTGGGGTACATATATGCATTTTCTGCAGCTAAAAATGTCCTGTGACAGTTGTATCAATGTTTTAATAAAAATATTGTACAATAAATAAAAATCTTTTTATCTATTATACGGCCCCCACCACATGGAGTTACCTCCCTGCTATGCATGCGCAGCAAACCAGGTAAGCACCTAGGCCCGTATCATCATTCCTTCTGCTGAATAAATCAGTGAACAGAATTGCGGGGAGGTGGGCGGCCCTACCCCAAGGACGACTCTCTTCAAAGAATTGGAAACCTCTGCAGGTTTAATTAATTCTTTTTCATAGAGATCGTCCTTGGGGTACATATATGCATAAACTCAGACTCCCAAAGACCGGAGGCCAGGGAGGAGAGAATTCTGTCAAAGTACACATGAATAGCGATCATTAGGAATAATGTAACAGACGCCACAACACTCACCTGTCACGTGTCCCGGAGCTTCCACAAGAAGCATTATGGGAGGGTAACCGACAGGGAGGATAAGTACTGAGAACCGACCTCGTAGGTTAAGCATAGCAATTCGTACACAGTGTGAAAATAAACAACCCCGCACACATCATGATCTATTAGAGAGCACCGTAAGGGGGAAAAACCAACTCACAACCGACCATAATCTCCGGAGAGAATTGAAAGGAGTTAGATCACACAACAGCTGATATATCAATAAAACACAATTGAAAGCAGCGTCAACGAACCAGATAACCAAGACTCACTCGGTCAGGGTGGCAGGACACTGTCCACTGGAGAGAAAAGAACGGCCAAAACGCGCACGATCACGTGAATGTGTATCGAGCTGATAGTGCCTGATAAAAGTGCTAGGCCTGCTCCAAATAGCGGCAGAGCATCTCTTTAATGGGTAGTGCCGATGCAAAAGCTTTTGACGTGGCTACTGCCCTGACCGAGTGAGCCTTCAACCCCTCAGGGGAGGCTTGCCTTTAAGCCTGATAAGCAGCACAAATGACCGATACAAGCCAGCGAGACAGGGTCTGTTTGCTCGCCGGCACCCCAGCCTTCCCTCCACCATAACAGCAGAACAGATGGGTACCCGTACGGATCCCCTGTGTTTGTTTGATATAGACCTTGAGAGTCTTTCGGACATCCAACGGGTGAGTGGTCGTTGCAGAGGTCCCCGATGTGGAAGGCTGGGTAAGAGTAGGAAGTTTGATAGGAGCTGTCACATGGAAAGCGTGATCGACCTCATACGGTAAGTATCCGGGAGGCGAATACTGACACGATCTGGCTGGAACACAGTCAGCGCGTGGTCTGCCGACATAGCATGTAAGTTGCCCACCCTACACCCAGATGTTACCGCCACCAGAAATACAGCCTTCCATGTTAACAACTGAATGGAAATGGCCGATAGATGTGAGAATGTAGGAACGGACAGCCAATCTAGCACAATTGACATGACGGCACCGGAGTGCGACGTATGCCGGTGAATTCTGGCAGGTCTCGCTTCCACATTGGTAAATGGCCGATACTGACGGTGGAAAGCACCCAAGTGTTGCTGGTAGCCTTCTCCCACTTCGGCAGGAATAGAGAGAGGCGGCCCTCCACTGGGACGTGTGGTAAGAGAGCGTGAGTGGTCCCTTGCAGACGAACTGACTGGGACGGACCCACGGCGACAGCCTGCTGGGTTAACGGGAGGTTGGGGCAGACCTCCCGTGAGCGCGAAAAGGCTGATGGGAGCCAGACGAAGAGGACTGCTCCTTGCCCTTACCTTTGGCGGGACGGCTCCTCCTCCTACCCCTGCCCAGCGGCCGAAGCCAGCCGGCAGACACGAGTGTAGGCTGCACCCCAGAGGAGGAAACCGCTACGGGGCGAGAAGCCCGTGGATGCTCCAACAAGGCCTTAGAGTCCTTGAAGGAGGTAGCTGTAGTAGCAGCCTCCCGAATGACCTGCTGAGCCCCCGGAAACAACGTCGCTCCCAGCCGGAACTGAAGGGCTAGCAAGGTCTGCTGTGTCGCTGCCAAGTAGCGGGACATCGACAGCCACATGACTACGCACATCACTGTAGACGCCGCAGACCGCAAAGAGTCACGCACTAGGTGGGCCTGCACTTCAGACAACTGGCGAAGCAGAACAACATGCGGGGACACGTCCCCAGTGCTCCCTTCAGCCTCCAGAGCCAAACATTTGGATAGAGGAAAGGTAGGCCTCATGGATCACCACCCGCACCTGCTGCATGGCATTCCGATAGACTTCCTCATAAGTCCGGTTAGCTTGCAGCAGGGGGGCGCCCGCAAGGGCAAACGGTGGTACTTAACGCCCTTGCTTGGCAGCCGGGGCTGCACCAGAGGCAGCCGAGCCTCCCCCTAGGGCGACCGAAGTGAAGACGCACTCGTTAACCACCGGCACAAAGAACAGCGAATCGTCCCCCAGCTGGTACCTCTTAACGAGTTCGGGCAAATCGAATCGGAGGCATGTCCCAACCAGGAGGAGATCCATCACGTCCTGCACCAGGGAAGGCAAGATGCAGAGCAGTGTCTGCGAGGGTTGCCTAGGGGCAAAGGCTTCGCCCGGCAGGCGGAACTTAGATGAGTCCGAGTGACAGGTGGGTACAACGGCTTGGGGAATATACTTTGAATCGGCACCCGAGCCCGAGTCAGAATCCGAGTCTCCTCGAAAAGAGGATCCGAACCCCGACCCGTTGGGAGGCCGAGCCCCAGACACCGAGGGAAGGGAAGAGCCTAAGGAACTCCCCGCTCCCGCGGCACAGGGAACGGAACCCCAGGAATCCTCAACGGACCCTGCGCCAGCACCGAGAGGGGGACTGGGAGCGAACCCTCCCCTCAGGGATAGCCGAGGCGTCTGGACCAGAACGGAACCCCAGGAATCCTCAACGGACCCTGCGCCAGCACCAAGAGTGGGACTGGGAGCGAACCCTCCCCCTCCGGGATAGCCGAGGCGTCTGGACCCGAAGTCAGAGGCAAAGGATCGACAGACACCTCCAGGCTTAAGGGATCGAGCCGGGCTCAGCGATCCCATCCCTGGACTCTCGGTCCCCTGCTCAGAGTGGGCGAGGAACCCGACGGAGACTTCCAAACGACTCGTGAACAAGGGACTTCACAGAGTCCATATGCTGCTGGAAAAGTTGTGTAATTAAATACATATCAAAACCACTGTGGGATGACTGGGGAGGCGTCTTATGCGACTTAGGTTTCTTAGCCGGTTTGGATGTTTTAGCTTTAGACGGGGGGACCTCCTGGGTAAGTTCCCCTTCCGCCTCTCGCAATTCCTTGTAGAACCGGAAATCCGCAGCCCTCCATTTCTGGGCCCGGGGAGAAAAGGCCATGCAAAGGTCACAAACATCGGGGTTGTGTCCCACCTTCTCAAGGCAGCACAAGCACTTATCGTGCTTATCGGCTCTTGGAATGTTCTGCCCGCAGACAGAACACCCAGTAAACACCTGAATGCAAACACGCAAGCATGTAGCTAACAGCGGAGCCAGCAGCATAAATATACACGTACAAAACATTGAAAATTACGTGAATGCGACCACGGGAAGAAATACTTGGTTAATAACGCAATATGACAACCACGTGGCACACTAAACTTCCCGCCATGGAAAAGCAACACGTGCGTAAAGCACGGGAAAGCTAGCGTAAAGATTAATACAAAGAATGAGAAATAACAGACTGCAAAGTCAATAAAACTATTCTGTCAAGAACAAAGAAAGACCATACATACAGTTGAAGTCTCAGACATTATTCTTTATCTCACAAGAGAGGTATTCAGCAAGGCAACTCGAACACGTGTGAACGCTTTGAGTGACAGCAGAAGGAATGATGATACGGGCCTAGGTGCTTACCTGGTTGGCTGCACATGCGTAGCAAGGAGGTAACTCCACGTGGTGGGAGCCGAATAATAGATAAAAAGATTTTTATTTATTGTACAATATTTTTATTAAAACATTGATATGTTCCTCTTCTCCATGTTGTACAGCAGTGAAGGTAACTAGAGGTACACACTCACCTTCTCTCCTCCATGTTGTACAGCAGTGAAGGTACTATCTTGTCCATGTGTACAGGATCCCAGATGTTGACCTGCAAGTCATCCGACACTGTCTTCCTCACCACACCCTGCAGTCCACTCAGACCCGCCTGTCGGATCCTACGACGACAGCAAAACACAGTCATCACATCTAGTAACATTTTCACAACTGGATACCTACATCTGCTAGACTCCAAGCAGCTCAAGGCATACAGGTGATCTCTCCAACTGTCTCAGTAGGCCTTATAACCATGCTCTGTTAGCCCAACCATCAGCGATGCCTCCAACATACATATACAGATACACTTCCACACCAGCTGTGACACACTATACCTGGCAGTGTCCAACACTGTCTGGGCTCCTAGTTGTGTCTGTGTTGGTCTTAAGTTATTGTCATTATCTCCTGAGCCAGAGTTTCTCAGGTCAGTATTCCACCGAGGTTTAGATTACAGATCAGCCATGTCCATGATGTGCAGCCAGCCATTAAAGAACAACTACCAAGTCTCATAAAGACACGGTGAATTCCCCACTGCTTGTTTCCATCCGTGAATTATATAACACTCCTCCATCACTCCACAAGTGAATCTTTTGCAACATTTGTTGAGATTCACTTCAAAGATTGGCATTGTTTCAAATTATTTTCCTCTTGCTTTCCTGCTACATATCTCTCAATATGATTCATTAGTTCATATCAGTGGTAATTCAGGTTCCTTCTAAGGTACAAGTGGGTCCAGGCAGTAGCTGAAAGGAGTTTTGAAAATTGGTAAGCGGAATCCGCACATCAGATTAATGAGATATTAATGAGAGATCTTGAGCTGGGAGATGCTATTTATCTAGGCCAGAGAAACACTCATATTCCAAATGACACAGAAAATAGCGTTCCTATCTGTAAGACATGATCAGAGTCTATGAGAGAACTGTATCAACTTCAGACTGTCTAAATGCCATGGTAATATTTCTCCTGCTCAGATATGAACCCATATTTATAGAAGATATGATCCATTTTACCTTGGTCAATATTGCTTGTCTTCATGGCATTACTTTTATACAAAATTGCAATGGAGAACTATCACCAACAAAATATTTCAAACCCATATCGGACACCAGTTTCATTACTGAAATACATGTTTACAAACCCAGAAATGTGTGTGACAACTGTCTGCATGTCAAGGGACATGTTTACCATCCTGCACAGGGACAATCCTCCAGATACCTGTTACTAACCTCTTCTCTACTGGCAGTCATCTGGGAAATAGAGCTATTCCAGTATCTCATAGCAATGTGCAACACACTCCAGTTGGAACATGATAAACACACAGCAAACTCATACAGCTTAATATGTTTTCTATCACGTCTTTCCACTGGCTCAGTGGCAATTCACTAACAAAATGTTCAGGAACTAAAAACGGATCACACACCTAACAGACAAACAACCCTGGAGAGCAGTCACAATAAAGAGATAATAGCACCACATAGATACAACAACCCTGGAGAGCAGCCACAATAAAGAGATAATAGCACCACATAGATACAACAACCCTGGAGAGCAGTCACAATAAAGAGATAATAGCACCACATAGATACAACAACCCTGGAGAGCAGTCACAATAAAGAGATAATAGCACCACATAGATACAACAACCCTGAGAGCAGCCACAATAAAGAGATAATAGCACCACATAGATACAACAACCCTGAGAGCAGCCACAATAAAGAGATGATAGCACCACATAGATACAACAACCCTGGAGAGCAGTCACAATAAAGAGATAATAGCACCACATAGATACAACAACCCTGGAGAGCAGCCACAATAAAGAGATAATAGCACCACATAGATACAACAACCCTGAGAGCAGTCACAATAAAGAGATAATAGCACCACATAGATACAACAACCCTGGAGAGCAGCCACAATAAAGAGATAATAGCACCACATAGATACAACAACCCTGGAGAGCAGTCACAATAAAGAGATGATAGCACCACATAGATACAACAACCCTGGAGAGCAGTCACAATAAAGAGATAATAGCACCACATAGATACAACAACCCTGGAGAGCAGTCACAATAAAGAGATAATAGCACCACATAGATACAACAACCCTGAGAGCAGTCACAATAAAGGAGAGCAGTCACAATAAAGAGATAATAGCACCACATAGATACAACAACCCTGAGAGCAGTCACAATAAAGAGATAATAGCACCACATAGATACAACAACCCTGAGAGCAGTCACAATAAAGAGATAATAGCACCACATAGATACAACAACCCTGGAGAGCAGTCACAATAAAGAGATAATAGCACCACATAGATACAACAACCCTGGAGAGCAGTCACAATAAAGAGATAATAGCACCACATAGATACAACAACCCTGAGAGCAGTCACAATAAAGAGATAATAGCACCACATAGATACAACAAGCCTGGAGAGCAGTCACAATAAAGAGATGATAGCACCACATAGATACAACAACCCTGAGAGCAGTCACAATAAAGAGATAATAGCACCACATAGATACAACACCCCTGAGAGCAGTCACAATAAAGAGATAATAGCACCACATAGATACAACAACCCTGGAGAGCAGTCACAATAAAGAGATGATAGCACCACATAGATACAACAACCCTGAGAGCAGTCACAATAAAGAGATAATAGCACCACATAGATACAACAACCCTGAGAGCAGTCACAATAAAGAGATAATAGCACCACATAGATACAACAACCCTGAGAGCAGTCACAATAAAGAGATAATAGCACCACATAGATACAACAACCCTGGAGAGCAGTCACAATAAAGAGATAATAGCACCACATAGATACAACAACCCTGGAGAGCAGTCACAATAAAGAGATAATAGCACCACATAGATACAACAACCCTGGAGAGCAGTCACAATAAAGAGATAATAGCACCACATAGATACAACAACCCTGGAGAGCAGTCACAATAAAGAGATAATAGCACCACATAGATACAACAAGCCTGGAGAGCAGTCACAATAAAGAGATAATAGCACCACATAGATACAACAACCCTGGAGAGCAGCCACAATAAAGAGATAATAGCACCACATAGATACAACAAGGGTATGATGACACACTAATACTTCCAGATGATGACAACACCCCACCTTGTTATCAGGGTATGATGACACACTAATACAGCCAGATGATGACTGATGGTGACAACACCGCACCTTGTTATCAGGGTATGATGACACGCTAATACTTCCAGATGATGACAGATGGTGACAACACCCCACCTTGTTATCAGGGTATGAAAACACACTAATAAACCCAGATGATGACTGATGGTGAGAATATCCCACCTTGTTATCAGGGTATGATGACACACTAATACAGCCAGATGATGACAGATGGTGACAACACCGCACCTTGTTATCAGGGTATGATGACACACTAATACACCCAGATGATGACAGATGGTGACAACACCCACCTTGTTATCAGGGTATGGTGATGCACTAATACTGCCAGATGATGACAGATGGTGACAACACCCCACCTTGTTATCAGGGTGTGATGACACACTCATACAGCCAGATGATGACAGATGGTCACAACACCCCACCTTGTTATCAGGGTGTGATGACACACTAATACAGCCAGATGATGACAGATGGTGACAACATCCCAGCTTGTTATCAGGGTGTGATGACACACTAAAACAGCCAGATGATGACTGATGGTGACAACACCCCACCTTGTTATCAGGGTATGATGACTCACTAATACAGCCAGATGATGACAGATGCTGACAACATCCCAGCTTGTTATCAGGGTATGATGACACACCAATACAGCCAGATGATGACAGATGGTGACAACACCCCACCTTGTTATTAGGGTATGATGACACACCAATACAGCCAGATGATGACAGATAGTGACAACACCCCACCTTGTTATCAGGGTATGATGACACACTAATACAGCCAGACGATGACTGATGGCATTCTGAGAAACTGAGAACTGTTTAATTCAAATTAGGAATTTTACTACCATATATACTAAAGACTTGGGGACCAAATACTGCCCTGTGGGGAAACCGAGCAATACCCTGGGTGATTAATCAAAACAAACTGCTTACATCATGTGTGTACATAAGAAACCACATCATTAAGAGGACTGCTGCATTACAGAATTTCTATAGAGCATACCAAAATGATGAAAACCATGGCATATCATTCAACCAGATTTCCATGTAAATATATGCCTAATCTCTTGATCACTGTGTATCCATGGCAACAAGACTTAGCCTGGTGTCAGTGATTATTTCTTATGGCCTGAGCAGATCTACCAAAACTGGTCCTCCAATTCATTATAGTAGGGAAGTTAATAATTGATGGTGCTGTGCCTCCACACGAGACTAATCAAGCCAGCATCTGCCTAGTGACTGACACACTCCGCATCATTAAGAGTTCTGTACAGTAACACGGCTAAGGGTTTTTTGGGTTTTATTGCTCACAAGAAAAATAATGATAGTACCATCAAAAACAGTGTGAATTTTGTAAAACTATATGATAGAAATGTGTGATATCATCTTATTTATGCGTAAACCAACAGAAAACATGTTGCTCTATATGCAGAATCCTCCAGAAGAGTGTCTCTACATCCAGAGCCAAGAAGTATCAAGCACAAGGTGACCTAGAACATATACAAGATATATCCATCACCTTCTCCTTGCTGAATCACCGGGACAATTAACCTCCTCGTAGATAGCGGAGAACAGCACAGCCGTTGCCTCCACCACAACTACTGCATTCAATAAAGCTATCCAGTCTGGTCTCAGTGAACAGTCTCTGTCTGCGTGGAATGGACCAGTCCAGCACATGGCAAGCTGGGATAAGGGATACTACAGCAATACTCAATCACTCCGCTAGGATGAAGATCAATAATTGATCAGGTAGAGATGAGAGCAACTGAGGGTGTATTGAAATAGCATGGAGACAGTTGCGGACAGTCTCACCAAGCCAGAACTGTCACAAGGACTGCTTAGCTACAAGTGATCATCTCCCGAACCTCTAACATCACTAGCTCCAGGGACCTGATCACAAACATGACTGACAGTAACTCAATA